GACCTGCATACGCGCCGGCCGAGGGGAGGGTTGGTACGACCCCCCTCCCCGTTGCGCCGCTGATGGAGTTAGAGCGTCGCGGAAAAAAACGAGCGTGTGCGCACTGCGCAGTTACGAGACGCAGCGACTGGTATCCGATTTTAGGGTCTCAGGTCAACTGGTGACCTTTGAGGTCAGGTCAAGTGGCCCAAGGCACGAGCTCAGCTTTTTGATAAATAACTTTGCAAAAAAAAAAGCAGTCGCAGCGCAGCGATTTTGGCATCATCGTGTTTGCCTTGCACAGGCGCGTCGAATTGTATACTTTTTATTCGGATGAGGTTAACTTGAGGTGTTGACCTAAAGTCAAGGTCAGGTCAGAGTCCCCAGGTCACGAACTTGGTCTAGGGAGGTCATATCGCATAGCATTCGATTCGGCAGGCCTTCGGGAGTCCATTGGTGGTTTTTGCGACTCGCTAGCTAAATTTTTTAATGTTTCAAGCAATCGCTTGGTTGATATTGACGCTAGGAAGACCATTTATTTTCTTGGTGTGATTTAGGTACATACCTAGTTTACGGTGACCCGTTGATCTAGACTTAAAAAGCCCAGAGCTGTAAGTTTCATACTTATAGAGAATATTGCGGCTGCGCATACTTGCCATTTCTGGATGAACTTCGATTCTATAGTGCTACCTCGAACGTGTCCTATCAAATTTACCGCCTAACTTATTAGTGGCGTCAGCCTACGCCGCCTGCAATTGCATCCGATCTACAATAGCACGTATGAAGTCTCAGCCATAGACGAGGCCGTCCAGTGTCCATCGAGATATGGTGTCAGCCCGCCCACTGGCCTGCTCCCACGGAAGACATACGTGTAGTAAGCGTACCGAGAATGACGACAGCCTCATCACAGCAGAGCCGATGCCTAACACTATGAGACCTGAGTCAACGCCAAACAATATGCGTCAGTTATCACAGTTTGTGACCTTGCGAGTGGCGATGCCTCACTCTCCGCCACTTTTCAGTAGACAGAAGAGGCTCACTGAGGAGCCGCCGCTAGCGCCGCCACCACCGCCGCTGTGCCGACGGCAGCGCTCAAGCGGACCTCGCGGCGGAGGCTGGGGTCAGGGCTCACCGACAGGCGGCGCTGGTGGAAACTGCACCCTCGGGTGCTGCGCGGATAGACCCATCCGTCGTCGCATCGTACAGTACAGGCTGGCCGATTCACGCACACTGCAGAGGGGGCACAGATGAACGCCAGCGTGCAGGAGGCACAGGGAAGTTATTCATAGCGCTCATCAGCCGTGGTTCCGGCGGATGCTGCCTCAAACCATCTCGGCGAGCCGTCCGCATGCACGCGAGTCTCGCTGGTTACCGGTGCGCTGAAAGGCCCGTTTGATCTCGAGCCGCGTGGACCGTGGACTCAGTTAGTTTTCGCTCGGTGTGTTTGTATCCCGACCGGTAGGCGTGCGGTCTGTTTGGCCCTTGGCAGTGAGGCGGCGCACGCACAGCCCGTCCCAGTGTGTGTCGATATAAACACACCGGTGGCCGGCCGGCGAGAGAGCGGCTGAAAGGAGACGACGTTTGGGTCGGCGCCTTTGGTCGGGAGGTCGGCCGGCCGCGGTAGGGGAGAAAGTGTAGGTCAGGGTCGAGTCTTCTCGTCCCGGGTCACTGGGGACTGCTGAGAACACCCGCCTTCGGGCGCTGAGATGCGCGAGTGCGGCCCACAGTTCACATCCTCAGCGGAACTTAACATTACAACTGAGGTATAGTCGACTACAGAATGATGTTCCACGTCTCAGAAGTTATCAGTTGACCGGAGCGCTAAGTTGTGCCGTTTATCACACAATTAAGCGTGTCGATTGTGAGCATTGGGACGAAGCTATAATATGTGAACTCAGCCCTTGTGATGCGGCACAGCCTACCGCTCCAGGCAAATAATTGCCTGTGAAAAGTGGAGCATCATTCTGTAGTCGACTATACAACGCTCAGAGCTGATAGGTGCTCCTGCGTCTCCCGCAGTCCGTGTGACGGACTGTGTTCACAGCTCAACAACATGTGTCGGTATCGGGTAGTAATCCGCCGTTTTTGCTGGGTCTCCGCGGCGCGGTTTGTGGTACAGGTGCTAAGCGTAAGCAGGATTTACCGCCGCACCTCTGACCCAGTCGGCATCAGTGACTAGTCGTTTGTCACGTCGCGGTTGAACAGGTGCCGATCATTTATCACAAGTGACGCTGACATCCGAGCGACATTAGGGCACAGCTGAGGCTGTAATTGGAAGGAAAACATGCGGGCGCCGGGCGGAGGGCTTCCGCTCTCCTCTGGGTAATTTGTCACATTGCTATCTTTCGCGGAGATGACTGGAGTTATCTCGGGACGACTTTACGGTGGGCCTCGTCTGCGCCTAGTTGCGGTATCACTCCAACTGCATCCTAATTGCGGTGCCTTTTAGTAGCCAGTCTTACTCCAGCTGTATCGCAACAGTTGCTCCACCTACGCTGTGCCACAGCTGTTGTATCTATCATCTCGCCGTACGGTGTACCTGCCCAGTTGCGATACATACCTCCGCAGCCTCCGGCCGCCGTCTCGTACCGGGGCGGCCTCTGCGCCCCAGCGTCGGCCGTCGCTGGCCGCACGACCTCGATGGGCCGATAAAAGGAGGGCCGCCGCCATATACGGTCATTTGGCCGGTGTGACGTCACACCTGACACCACGACCGTAGGCGACCGGGGCGGGACTGGCCTAACGCCGTGCCGTCCGACGGCAGAGCGGGGAGAGTGAGAGTGGAGCTGCCATACATTGCGGGATGATCGGATTGGAGTGCTCTTTCTATCCTCCATCTACCCTTCTCTTCCTTTCTGCCTGTCTCTCTGATCTGACAAACGGCTTGCAGCGGAGCATTGAATGCATGATTATGTAATCCCGGTGTGAGATGTGCGTATGCATGCATGTTGAAATGAATATCTCTGGCTCTCTCCGAAGCACAGATCAGAGAAGATGCCCATGCAACGGAGATATAGCCCATGCGAACTTCATCTTCTGTGTGTTCATACCTCGTACTCTGGTCCCAGCAAGAGGAGCGTCATCTTGTAATGCAGAGAACGGGGTGTTGGGCGCTCTCGAGCGCCCTGTTGCTGTTTATACGAGTTATAGCCGGGCGCACCACCGTCTGCACCACCCTCGCCCGTGGCCGCGAGGGTGGTGCATGACACGGACGGCGCAGTGATGTGTGCGAGGACTAGGAGGGGCCGGGTATCGCTCAACCGTGGCGACCATTTACGTTGAATGCTTGCATTTTGCATTTTCACTCACATCTGATCGGTGATCAGGACAATGATCTTTCACCATTTCCTGATGGGTGGTTACTGACCCGGCCCTTTGGCGCGGGCGGGGCAGAGGGTGAGTGGTCGGGGAGCAGAGATCAGCTGGGGGGGGGGGGGGGGAGGGGGGCTGAGCTCGGTCCGTCAGATCAGCGTCGGCTTAGTCACCGCCACCAGAATAGTGCTGACTCGACTCCAGAATAAACAGCGGCGGCCGGCGGAGCACACCTCGCTCCGCCGAGGGCCGAGGGCCGGCCGGAGCGGCCTCTGACCGCCGGTCACCGACCACTGAGGAACAGGCGACCGCCGCCGACCACTGACCAAAAACTACCGACCGGCTTCCAATGACCACCGACCACAGGCCGGCGGAACCGATCGCCCCTGTCACCGACCACCGGGCTAATTCGGCCGAGACCCTGATCGCTGATCATCGACCACCGACTTCTTACTACTGACTACCGGACTATTGACTACTGACCACTAGTCACCAGCCCCGGACCACCGACGACCACCGACCACTGGCCACCGACCACTGATGCAGACCACTGCGTTGACCAATGGGCAACGTTAACCCAATCGCTTTTCTTTTTCAGCCCAGCTATCTAACTGATACTACTCCGCCTCCCCCCCCCCCCAGTTTATCGCCCCTTATGCAGACTACTTCAACAAATTGACTCTTATTTCAGTTGAAATGCTGCCAGACCACTCTCAGTGGTCTGCGAGCGCCTCTCTCCCGATCTGTTGCCATTGATCTCCCGATCTATTGCTCCCGATCTATTGCCATTGATCTGCTGCCAGCGGCTGGCGTCCGTCACCACACTGTTGACTTGTTACCGTCACCGCGGGCCTCTGTTGATATATCTCCCGTGGCTGCGGCAGCGGCCGGAGCACGGCGCCAGTGTTTGTTGCTCCTGCCGGGCACGGGCCGGCTGACAATGTGTCCCGGGCTGAGTGTGGGTGGACCGGGCCGTGGAGGCTGTACGCAGTGTGTGGGAGGGGTGGGATGACGTCATTGGGAGAATAATGGGACCGGGAGACGCCTGACAAATTGGGACAGAATGGAGCACAGGCGAACTAATGGTCGTGTGGATCAGGTAGAATGATGTGGGTTTGGAGTTGCTCAAACGATAGTCGGTCGCGTAGGATGAGTACCTAGACGGGAATTAATGATCTCAAGTAGCTCACGCGACGCATCTGGGCTTCCAGCCAACAGTTGAGCAGTACCATCTATTTCAGCTGCTGAGGAGGATTTACCAACCAACGCCGCGGTCCAACGCAACCCGAACAGGTGCCTAGTTATTTCCCCGACTTTAGTGTGTTTCTGTGTCCAACTGAGAGATTTTCCGAAGGTGCTGACCGTTTTCCTTCTGTGTCGTAGTGCCAAGGTCGACGGAAGAGCTCGCGGAAGGTGTGCACCGTCATCGAGCCGCGATGGGCGTGGCTGGGCGCCGCGTCACCCCCCGGTCGCCGCCGCTGCAGACCGAGCTCCGACAGCCAGCCAAGACCGCTGCTGTCAGTCGGCTGGCGCAGCTCCTCCGCAGTCCGCCGCCGGCCGCCGGACCGCTGCCGTGATCTCGGCCAGTATGCAGGGCCCGTCGGCCTGCTCGACCATGTATGGACGAATGCCGTCCGCCGTCCACCGGTCAGCAGCCGCATCGACCTGCAACACGGCGCGAGAGGCGGACTGGCGAGCCGTAAGGGCGGGCCGCCGGCCGTCCACCGCTGGAAACTCGCCCCTGCCGGCCGGTCCAGCCGAGTGCGGGCCGGCCGCTGGGCGGCGCTGGCGGCGCGGCGCAGGCGCGGGGGCGCTCGACAGACCAGCAAACTATTTTAGTCGCCAGCGACGGCCGGCGAAAAAAGCGTCGGCGTTCGCTGTGCTGCAGGTGTGCGAGCGGCGGAGGGCGGTGTGCGGCGCGCGGTGACCGGTCGGCTTGGTCTGGGACGGCGCACTGACCCCAGGTGAGTTCTCGGCCCGTGTTGGCGCCCGGCAGTAGCCCCGGCTCGGTTTCCAGCGAGCTTTGCGTCTCAGGTGACCGTCCAAACAGCGCCGGCCAGGTGTGGGGGACACATCAGAGGGCGATGGGAGCCGCGCTACCGCGCAGGGTCAGGATCGGCGCGTGGCGGCCGGAGCCGGGAGCGCACCTGATCTCTTGTTACCCCAGCACGGCGCGGCTGTCGAGCGCCGCCAAAACACGCGCTCCACACCAGCTGACGCCTCTAATGAGTGTACCGTGGAATGGGGCCCACGCGCCGGGCGGGCGGCGGCGCGATTGTCGGTCATTAGAGCTCCCGAGACCCGGTCACTGGGACTGTCGGGACAGGTGCAGACGGGACGGAAATACTGGCACGTGCTGGGGTGGGAAAGGGCGCCACGGAACGAGGTGTCACGCAATCAGCCAGTCATGCTCAGAGTGAAGGCAAATAGCGACAGAGGCTGGTAGCGCTGAGCGGCGCTCTGTTTATTTGGCCGTCTCCAAATTGTTTTGTTCTCGCGCGTTTGTCTGAAGGTCTCTGGTCGGCTCGCTGGCGGTCACGGTTTCCTGGATTCGGGCTGTTTATAAACACCTGACTGCTGTGCCGTTCGAGTTTACCGTGGCTCGGTATCGGGCTGCTCCGGTGGCGTTCCATCTACCGTGCACTCTGCGGGGTATGTCGGGCGGTGAACCGCCCCCCCCCCTCCCCTCTGCGCTGCGCCCCACTGGGCCGTGCGTCTCCTCTGCATGTGCGGGAGTGCCTCCGCTGCAGCGTCATAACATAACCCGCTGCGACACTGGCCAGCCGCCGCTCAGCTGCATTTGCTCAACCACCGTCTGACGGCCCGATGAGCTGGCGTCTGGCGCTGCCCCTCTGCGGGGAGGACTGCTCACCAGACACCCCGTGATACCAACAAACCACTGCAGTCGGAATACCCTCGTATACTGCCCAGACGGCCCGGCATTGTAGCGAGGGAGGGCCATTAATGTCAGCCATCTGCCTCCTGATGCTGGGGCAGTATTTATGCGGCGCATCTCGTATTTTGTGCCGAGTGCGGCCGCGATTGTCGTCTGGAGACAGGAGAAACCTGCCGGTAGGATGGATGTCGGTTGTGCTGCCGGCAGATGTTCGGATACCGGCGCCGGTGCCGCTGCGGCCCGTCCGGCTGAGGTCGGTCTGCCGGGGGCGGGACTCGTCACACCGGTACCCCCCACGTCCCGGTCCGCCCACGGGCGTCAGGGGCGTAGGCAGGGGGGGGGGGGCCACTGGGCCATGGCCCCCCCCCCTTGGGCGCCGAAGGCGCCCTTTGCGATTGGAGGGCGCCGAAGGCGCCCTCCAATCGCAAATGCAATTGTGATATAATCGAATCGAAAAACAATCGCGACTGGAGGGCGCCCTCCAATCGCGAATGTGTTTACAGGGAAAATACGGATGGAGGGCGCCCTCGGAGGACGCCCATTCCAAATACGCCCTCCAAATACGGTTGGAGGGCTCCATCGGGCGCCCTCCAACCACATTTGTAGGCTGTAGCTCTCTAAGCGTAACGGTGGTCGCCTATGTAAGCCGCTGTCCCGTAAATAAGCGCCCTCTCACCCGAAGGCGCCCTCCTGTAGGTCGCCACCCTGCTACATATTGCCGCCCTTCTGCTGATCGGCGTCCTCATAATTATTGGCGCTCTCCTACCTATTGCGCCCTCATGTGAAATTTTCAAGGCCGCCTTTCTCCTTTTTGGCACCCTATTGTTCAGTGCCGCCCTCCTACCTATTGGTTCCCTAGTCCTTCCTGTTGAATGTTAATCGGGGCCCTTCTCTTATTGGCGCCCTCGTGTTGATCGCCGCCCTCCTAACCACTGGCACCCTCCTGTTGATCACCGCCCTCCTATCCACTGGTACCTTCCTGTTGACCAGCGCCCTCCGCACAGACGCCCTCCTGTTCGTGTCATCCTCTTGAGCAAAGGCGCCCTCCTCACCATTGCCACCCCCATTTTAATCGTCACCCTTCCGCTCATTAACGACTTCCAGTTGATGACCGCCCTCCCACCTATTGGCGACCTCTTGTTGATCGCCACCCTCCTATTGGTGCTCTCCTGTTCCTCGCCACCCTCTTACCTGGTGGCGCCCTCCTGTTGATTGTTGATCGGGGCCCTCCTACCTATTGGTGCCCTCCTGTTGATCGCTGCCCTTCTATCCATTGGCGCCCTCCTGCTGCTCGCCAACTTCCTACCTATCGGTGCCCTACTATCGAAACTCGGGATGTTGATCGGGGCTCTCCTACCTATTAGCGCCCTCCTGTGGATCGCAGCCCTTCTACCTATTGGCAACATCCGTTGATCGCTGCCCTCTTATCATTTATTTACTCCTTTGGCATGTTTTTCAACTTAGTCGTTCTATTGCACATAGTTGATGTCTTGCCTGTGAAAACTGCCACAAATGAACGTGCATTCAGCACAATGAATGAAGTACCTATACCTACCAAAACTATCTACGCTCTACGATGCATAAAACACGTCTTTGGTCTTAACGGATTGATCCTACTTTACGTGCATCATGGCATCTATATGGATTACGATTAAGTATTGTCAACAGGTTCGGCCGCAACAGCAGGCATCTGAAGTTTCGGTGATTGAAACTGGTTATGTGGGTAGGGGAGAGCGGGGCCAGTTGAACCACTTTTTATATATTGACATGCACAGCGAGATCTAGTTGTCATATCGAAAAATGCACAATGCCATGAAAAAATATGCTCTTTTGGCTTTATTTTAAGATATGTAAAATTATGTTTCAAACATATTTTGCGGCCAAACGCATGCTTATAAAACAGCTCTACGCCCGTTTCAAATGACCCCGATGCGAGGGTCAATTGAACCAGCCCATGGGGTCAATTGCACCTATCCTTAACAATGGGATGTTTTCCTCTTTAAGGCCACTTTCTTAAGGAGATATTTTGTCCGGTTTACTTTTCCAAATGCTACATTCAATAGGTCGTTGGAAAGCTAAAAGTGCAAAGTTCCTCATAATAGGTGACATAAAGTACATAGACTATGGTAAAATGGGCGGATGAGAAAAATGAGAAATATCTCAGGCTATAGTGTGCTTTCAAGCAAAAGGCTGGAGAAAAGGGGTCAAAAATTGAGCTCTATTAAACTACTATTTCAGTTTCAAAGCTCATTTCAAAGGTGGACTATTTCCTTTAATGTTTACAGCCCCTGAACAATAACAATTGCAAAGGTCACCGGGGTCCATTGAAACGGCCTGTGGCCCTGTTTCAACTGACCCTCAGAGAAGCGTTTCAATTGACCCCATCCGCTCCCGCCATCTCGCACGCGCCGTAAAGCACATGTCAAACGAGCTGGAGGGACGGCATCATGCTGAATGAAGGGCCAAATAAGGTGTTATTCCGGAGCCAGGAGTTCTTCTTTCAGCAAACAAAGGTATATGATATATCACAAAATCTTCATAAAAACGATTTCTCCCAAACGCCCCTCAAAAACACAAAAACAAGTGTCAAATCAAAATTACCGTCCGTTTGCCGCCCAAACGCCGTTGACAAAGGGAGTGGTCGAGCGCGGATGCGCAGTGGTATCGGCAACGCCATATGTTGCATACTGTTGAAAATAAAGCCATGTTTCATCTGACCCCGTGTTTCAACTGGCCCCGCTCTCCCCTACACTGTATGCATCTGTGAGAAAGCTATGAAGGCTGGGGTCTGAGGTAATTTGGATGATGTTTACGCATCTCGCGCTCCGGTATCAATCCGATACGGTGATCTGGTGCGTAGATATGCCACCGCCAATAAACTTTTATACATCGACACCCATGAGCCAAGCTTTCTATACAGTTTGTGTGGCAGCGGCCCGACCAGACCTTTGGTATTTTTTACACCTTCAAATTTGGTAAAAGAGCGAGAGGAGCTTTGAACGGTGATCGTATAAAAGGCGTGCCTAAAAAGCGGAGGAAAAGGTTGTTTTCAAAAATTTTGCGCGCCTTCGGCGCAGCATTTCAAGAACACTTGACCTCTTGTGACCTGGAGTATAAAGAATACACACGATGCAAAATCAATGCAGCACGACCTATACGAGGTTACGCAAAAAAAAAAAAACTGGTGGCATGGTAAAAAACGCCTCCCAACCCCCCCCCCCCCACCCCGCTGAGCGATTTTTTATCTCGCGACCGTATGGCGCCCTCCTTGGGTGAGGTGGCGCCCTCCAAACCCTTGGCCCCCCCTTCGCGATTTTCTAAATACGCCGCTGACGGGCGTCAGCCGCCCACTGACCGCCGAGGGCCTCCCACTAGCGTCCGTGGTCTGCCGTGTGTTCACAGCTGTGTGCTGATCTGGGTGTGTCTGGGAGTTGGGACTGCGACACCTCATTCGATGCTCCATTGGTGTCCAGCGTAGCTCCGCGGCTACCTACCTAGCTCAGAAATACGGGGAAGTAGTCACGGCTAAGCGCCCGTTTCCCGCCCAGTCTGCGTGTTACCGGCACCCCGTCCTGCGCCGGGCCCATTGTGCCTCCCTGGGCCGGGCTGGTGCGATACCGGGCGCCCGGAATGCTGTTCCATTTCCGGTGTATGGTCGGGCGGCCCGCCCTCGCACCGCGCCGTGTTGCAATCATCACTCCACTCTCATCGGGCGCTGTCTGCCGGCTCCCAGGGCCCAGGGGTGGGACAGAGCGGGTTACTTTCCCCGTCACAAAGAGATGCGGGCACGTCGGCTGCAGAATGGAGCATGCAGTGCACTGGGACGAATGTACAAAGAGGGGAGGGAGGGAGAGAGAGAGAGAGAGAGAGAGAGAGAGAGAGAGAGAGAGAGAGAGAGAGAGAGAGAGAGAGAGAGAGAGAGAGAGAGAGAGAGAGAGAGAGAGAGAGAGAGAGAGAGAGAGAGAGAGAGAGAGAGAGAGAGAGAGAGAGAGAGAGAGAGAGAGAGAGAGAGAGAGGAGAGAGAGAGAGAGAGAGAGAGAGAGAGAGAGAGAGAGAGAGAGAGAGAGAGAGAGAGAGAGAGAGAGAGAGAGAGAGAGAGAGAGAGAGAGAGAGAGAGAGAGAGAGAGAGAGAGAGAGAGAGAGAGAGAGAGAGAGAGAGAGAGAGAGAGAGAGAGAGAGAGAGAGAGAGAGAGAGAGAGAGAGAGAGAGAGAGAGAGAGAGAGAGAGAGAGAGAGAGAGAGAGAGAGAGAGACCACCGATGAGGTCAGCCCGTGGTTAGTGGGGGAGCGAGTGAATGGGATAAGACATCGGATGAGGTCATCCCATGGTGTGAACTAAGTCATGCATTGGTGCAGGGGCTCTCACATGGTGAATGCAAGGAGAGTCTGGGTTGAACTTTGCCCCAGTAAACAACACCATAAAACTGCGGACAGCCCTGTGGCATCAGGTGGGCTCTGTCAGCCGCACGGGCCCCGTGACTCTGACAACAGGCGGGTGGTGACAGTCGCATCTGGGAATAGTCGGCCCCGGCTTCCCGACGGGATGAGCTCAGCCCGGCTGCACGGCTCTCATTCACCGGCGCTGGCAGGCACGACCCTGTGTCGTCAGCACACAGTTATCTCGCAGTGTGATCATCCACCGAGTAACTGTCACCCACGGTGAAAATCGCTTCTTGCTGTCCTATGCTCGCGATATGTCCGAGTTCAAGCATGTTTGCAGGCCACTGTGGTTGTCATCGGTCTCCCTCAGGAGTCAGGAGTCAGGCCCGTGATTCAGGAGACACGTGCACGTCAACCCCGCTTGTGAACTCGTGCCAACTTCGTCACCCCTGTCAGCAGGTGTGAGGGACTGTCGACAGTAGCTGAGAGGTTCCAGCTTTACGTGGGCGGTGCGCCGTTTTATCGTGACCCACTCGCTCCACCGACGCACAGCGTATCTCACTCTCTAGTCATCCTCAGCGTCTATCTCGATGAACCAGAGGGCGCCTGCCCGGCTGTGTGATCTGCGCTCGGAGGCCTCCCGGCTGCCTGTGAGCTGTCTGGTTACTCAGTGAGCTGTCTGCCTCTGCGCTGTTCGGTAGCGCAGTCCGACCGCCTGACATCCATCTGGCAGCACACGGCAGCTTGGTTTTACGACCGGCAGCGGCGGCGGCGCCCCTCACCGGCACGTCCGTCACCGAGCTACAACCGGCTCCGCCCTCGACACACGGCCGCGGCACGGGTGCACGGCAGCGGTACGGGTGTGACCTCGACTTCAGCTGAACAATCCACCGCCTATCGGATGAATCCGTCTCTCCACCGCGCTGAGCTCCCCGTGACCTGACCTGTGACCTCCGCTGACCGACACGGTCACCCCATGACCTGACTCGGGACCCCTGCTGACCGCTGGGTTTCCTGTGACCTGATCTGTTACCTTTGCTGGCCGCCAATCGCTCCATAACCTGACCCGTGGCCGCTGCTGACCTCTGGTAGCTCCATGACCTGTACCGGGTCGACAGATGGTCACTAGTGACGTCACCCCTAACCCAGCGGGGCGGGGGGGGGGGCGTGGGAGTGGGCGGCGGCTTACGTCACTGGTTGCCGGCCGGGCGGCTGTTTTTCAGCGGACGGCATTGTTGTGGCCGGACGGACCGCTTCTCGCCCCCGCTCCAGCGACCGGTGATGAGGAATACTTCAGAGCTGACTGCAGCGGCACAAACAAAGACCGCCGACGCTAATGGCGTTTCCGGCAAAAGCTGTGCTGGTTCGCTCGGGTTTGCTCGGAGAAAAGCCGCAGTGTTTGGTTTCGGTCTGCACACTGCAGAACTGGCGTCTCTGGTGCTGTGCGGACTCAAACCTCACCAGGGATCTGACGATGATCTCAGTCGCACTGCAGTGAGTAGTGACCCGGTCTCTGGGGAACGCGGTGTGAGAGGGCACGCCCAAGATCTGGCGTTCGTAACTTGTCAGGAAGAGCGGTGTCTTAAGAGATGAATCAGCATACGCGGCAGCCGGCCGACCCGGTGACTACACAGCTCCGCTGACCTTTTACCGCCGCTGACTGCTGAGTTCTGATCACTGCCGGTCTCAGCGCCAGGTGTACGACGAGTCTCAGCACCGATCTGAGCACCCCGGCTCGGCTGTACCTCATCTGCGACCGAGGTCAGCGGCGCGCCGAACCGGGTGACATTTCTGGGTCACTGCGGACCGTACGGGCGGCAGCTGCGACAGCTCCAGCCGCCAGCTGCGACAGCTCCGAGCGCTACAACTAGAGGCACGGCTTCCTCGAACGGGGGCGTGTGTCAGCGGCCCTCTCAGGGGGATTGCCTGAGGGTCGGTAGGGTCGGTGCCGCTGCCCATTGAGACACCAACTGAGGTGTCGAACGTGGTCAGAGGCAGAGGGACTGCCTAGTACCCATACCGGCCTTTACACAGCAGCAGCAGCAACAGCCGCGGCGGCGGCGGCAGTCGGTGGGTGCGATTCTGGGTCAGCCCAGCTGGCGCCCCGCCAAAGGTCGGCCTCGCTCGCCGCCGGCTCCGCCCCGTGCGTACGGGTGACGTCACCTCTCGACCGCTGATGAGAGGACGGCGGGTGACCGCCCACGCGCCCGCCCGCGCCAAAACGGGGCGGGGCGCCACCGAACAGATGGTCGTGAGGTGGTGACGTCATGGACATAGTGACGTCACTGGTCCTGGTATTTGAGTGATGTCTTCCACCTGGACGCTTATTGAAACGACTGAACCCAGTTGATATAATTCTGACAGTGCTTACAAATGACATTGCAAATAATCGGCAGCTGCAGCTGAGGACAAAATCTCGAACTCCGTCTTTAGATTGGTTGTTAGATAGGAGAACCTGTTACTAAGTTCCTTGGTGGTGGTTGGCCTAGCGATTCGATCATTTTCCACGAAATGCTTGGATTGAGTCATTGTCCTGTCTTTCTGGAAATAAAACCAGGAAAACCAGCCGGCGTCCGCCGGGCCGGAATTTGGCCGTTATATCCTATGCACGTACATTTTCAAACGGGGCACACAGCTGCGCGCTGGGTAATGCAGCTGCGTGTGTCGGTGTTCCCGCGGTCGCGATCTCCCACCTCTCACCTTTGATCTCACAAACAATGGCGACACTGGGCCAGCCACAATTGGTTATTGTTCGTCACTCATGCTCGTGAGACTGGCGGTCGGACGTCGGGCTCGCTGTCATTGAACATAAATCAGACGGAACGAGGATCACACAGCCTGTGTCCGCTCGGGATGGTGCCGTAAAACCATCGGGACGACGTCCAGCTCAGTGAGGAGTGGGTCGAGTTAAATCGCCGGTCAGGGACGCAGCCTGTCGCTTCAGCGGAACGCGGGCTGAGTGACAGGGCAGTCAGCTGGGGCGTATAGTTGGGCGCACGCCGAGCGGACTGTGAGTGCGTTAGATGATAACGAGATTCAGTGGCCGGCTTCTCAGGAAGTCGGTGATGCAATGATTCGTTCCTAGACTGAAGGGGTGCGTGACTCAGTATCATCTGCCGATGAAGGTAAATAGGGGACGCACGGGTCCTTTTGCTGATGGGAACACAGTGGTTGTCCCTCGCTCCTTACCTGTGGTCCTGTGGTGTGTCGGGTCAGTGAAATGCCTCTGACGTCCCTCAGATGATCCGTCTCCGATCCGTGGCTGTGTTCTCCGGTATTCCTCAGCAGAGTCCTCAGTCCTCCGAGCGGGCGGTGAGGACGGTCCTCCGGGGAGTGTCTCGGCGCGGCGGCACGCGACACACTGGCACTGCTCATTAGCGAGCCCCGGTTAAGTAAGTGTCGCCACGTGCGTGCATCTTTCTGCCGCACGCACAAAGATGCGCCCGCTGCTGCGGTGGGGCCAGACACCCGCCAGACATCCGATCCTCACGGGTTCCCGTCCGCTCCGATCGCTGCTGTGTATTCCTCACGGCTGATTGGAGGCAGCAGTGTGTCTCAGAGGGTCCAGTCAGGCGTGAGGCAGTGAGGCAGGGCTGCCGCAGGTGCGCTGAACGTGCACCGTGCAGCCTGGCGTGCCGTTTCGCCGCCCGCCGGTATTGTCGGCGATGAAAGGGTGGCGCGGGTGGGAGCGGCCGCACGTGCTGCTCAGATTTTCACCTGACCCCAGGTCTGACCTCGTCGGCGCCCCCGTGTCTGCCGCCGCTGAGAGACCGGTGAACATGATACACTTCCTGTGGGGCTCCACGTGAGACGCCGCCGACCCGAAGGTCGACCTGCGGGCGCCGCTGGTGGGTGGCAATCGGTGCCGAATAACGCACCGAGGGAGGTGCTGAGTTATGTGAGAGAACGCCGGAGCGGAGTTCCATTAATCCTTCCGCTGTGGTGAGGACATGGGAAATAAAGCCACATCCGCTGCGCCGGTTAAAATGGAAGTGCTAACTGGCGTCTTCCTGTGCAACGTACCAGCTCCCATCACGACGCGTCCACCCGGCCCTCTCGTGACCGCGCCCTCAAACTGCGCCGTTGGGGCTGGCCACTGCCACTGCACTCGGTATCTCGGAGTGGTTTCTGCCCCTCCCCCTCCCCCACCACCAGTCCGTGTTTCTGTTCGGCGGGGAGTTTACCTTGGCAGCCACAGCGGTCGGTCGGCGGCCGGATTCCGCCGGTGGTAGTGTGGCGCCGGTGGTGATTCCGGCCAGGGAAGCTGCCGTGGCGACCTACTGGCGCTGCTGGAGGGGGGGGGGGGGGGACAGTAGTCACCAGACGAGTCATCGGCCAGGCTTCTGCCGGTGACACGGTGACTATGACAGGGGTGGAATGTTGAGGGAAGGATTGTTGCTTGATTGATCCCAGAGGCATGTCCATTGTCCAGTGGTCTTGCTATCCCTTCTTATGACATGTCAGCAGGCCTAACAATGCCAGTGTACCTGCATACATGACTGTCATTGCCAGTACTCCTGACAAGTCGTCACCAGCGCTGTGATATGTGTTTGTGAGCTGGCGACCCTGACCTAGCCGGTGACTATAAGCGGGTGTTGTGGAACTGTTTGACCGCGCTGACTGTGCGTCTAGTGCTGTGTCAGGCAGGAGCTGACCGTGTGTCTGACCCTGTTCCAGGGAGTGACTGGCCATGTCGTCCCTAACTCGGTCCGAGTATCGACACGAAGAACAGCGGCGTGTCACCGAGTCGCCGTTCCGAGAGACCAAATGGGACAGACACCTCGGTAAGTCAGGGACCAAATGGGGACCAGAGGGGACCAAATGGGACCGCTACTTCTCGTGAGTCGGTGACCAAAGGGACTCCTATCTCGGTAAGACGGACATCAAATGAACCGGCACCTTTGAAGAGCTTTGATCGAACGTTTTAGCGATAATCTCCTGGAATCTTATCGCTAGCTATTCCGCACCCGAAGCCCGAAGGGCTTAGAAAAATAGCGAAGGCTGCCGCACTCTATTTGATATATGCGCATTTTATGTCACCCCGTTAGGTATTTAAGTAATTTTGATTAAGGCCGATAATGTAATAAGGCTTGAGAGCAAATAAGAACAGCGTATTACTTGCGGTATTACTTCGTGACCACCTCGGGACCCAGGCGATCCACCGTCGTTATAGCTTTGTCCCTGTTCGCCATTCAGTAGGACGGTCCGAGGAGGGCCCGTGCCGCCCCAGCTGCTCTCGTGCTACGTGACCGGGCATTCGTTAGCGCCCACCGCCTTCAAGTGTTTTCTCAATCTCAAACATTCTGACTTTCTGATCCTGACCCGACTCATTGTTCGTAACGGTGCTTGTAAGGCTTGTAACACACCATGGAATGCCCGATTCTCCAAGCACCTGTTGTTCACACAGCACGCCAAATAGCACGTGGGTATTGTGTTCAGAATTCAGATGCCTTTCGCCCTGCGCATACTCGGGCCGTTCCTCCTCTCGGCCAGCACTGAGTTTGCGTGTGACAGTGTCTGTTCCGTGCCGACCTCGATAAATTTAGCGCCGCCGCTGGGCCGCGAACCGCGGCCGTGTTCGTCGGCCAACAGAGTGCCGCAGCTAACGATGAACAGGCGATAAGAATTTGTCGGCGCCGCCTCGTTAGCCGGAATATGCGGCGTTGTTTCCCTCCTCACCTGAGGACAGCTATTCCGGCGGGAGCGACCTCAGACCGATGTCACAATGCGGTCTGTTGGATTGGCTTCAGTCAGCCGGACGGTGGGGAATGCTGGGCGCCGGCGACCATGCGTCCGGAGTCCCCAACCCTGCTGCGTGTTCTTGTTTCTGTATAGTTTTCACTTTTAAAAACGCTTTATTTTCACCACCTTGCAGACTCCTTTTCATATTGTCCATCCATTGTACCCGTTTACAAACTTCTTTATTACCGCTTAACCCAGTCACCCCTGCGCAGAACGCGTGTTTAAACTATTCCCACCATCCTATTAGCACGATGCGTGCCGAGTTCACCTTGCCCCGGGCCCCAGTCCCACGGACACTCACTGCCCGTCCAGCCCGTTCACTCGCGCAGCCGACCGACCCGTGCCTGACCTCTGACCCCGCTCTGGCCAAGGCTGGCCGCCGTCCAGCCGCCCTCCCTCCCCTCTCTCCACTCCGCTCCTCTGCCCGGCGCGGCGGTCGGACGGGCGCCAGGTCAAGGCCGCCCTCTCGACTCACGGGCCGCATGCCGAGCACCCCTGTGATGAGCGATTGGGAGGAGGGCCCGTCTGACACTCACACCGGTCCCACAAACGAATGGACTCCCGACTAACGGACGGACGGACGGACGGACGGACGGAAGGACGTTTGGACGGGCGACAAAATTAATCTCATAGAAGACACGCTATATTTACTGCAGTATCTGGACTTTGCGGTCTATCCTGTGCCATCCGGACGTGCTCGTACTGTGCGTCACCTCCACCTCCCCCCATACCCATGCCCGTTCCTTGGCACGGTACCAGACGTGACACCACGACTGACCGACCCAGTTAGGGCGCCCGAGACGCTCCAAACGTGTGTTCTGACCCGAGAAACACGTCCCGTGACGCGCCTCCCCGGGCTAGTAGCCTCTGGGTCTCTCACGTGCGCCTCATTCTTCGGTACACGGAATGGCTCTTGAGTGATGTAACGCTCGCTCCTGACTGAATAACCGGTAAATTGGGATAAGGCCAGCTTTAAAAAGGTTATGTTTTGAATTTTGATCGCTGATGAATGATGACTGATTCATAGAATGTCACAATGCGCGGAAGCTGCGTCACCGCCTGATCTCAGGTCGTAACATTATGACGTCACACATATCGATGTCACGTGACCAGTGGAGAGTGGGCCAAGGTGCACCTTTGGCACACTGGGGATCGAACACGTCCATTGCGTGACGCGCGCGCCTGCTCTTTTTATGCGCAGCCCTGTCATTGTGAGAGCGAAGGTCCGTGTTACTGGGCGATCAGGGACGCGCAGCCATGTAATTCATCTAATTGGACCGTTTTACGATAGCTGTTTCTCGTTAGGACTCAATCTACACAATTACTTCAGGCTCTCCCGACGGCTTGGAAGACGGCTTGGAACAATGTAACGTTCATTCATCCCATAACTGGGACAATGCCAAGGTGTGAAAGAGGTTAAACGTGCTCACTGCTCACGCAGTGTATTAGGCATAACGTATTTAGGTGCAGCACATTTGCACGGTTCGAGGTCAGACCGCTTGCGATTCCTAGTAAGTTTGAATAAGACCTCGGCATTTTGTGCCATTACAACAATTTCTTCCAATATTTTACCTATCAGCTAGCTGAGTAGAATATATAAATCAATTACCGCTACCGGGTGGCAGTAGAGGCAGTCGCTCTGCAATACTCTCCGCCGCTGTCTCCTCCGCCCTCTGACTGGCTCCAATGGCCCTCCGCCCACTTCTCGGCCGTCTGCCTCCGTCTGCCACTGCTCTCCGTTCAGACTTCAGAGACGGCGTTCGGCTTGACTTGGCGCCGGCCGCTGGCACTGTGGCCCGGTTCTGGCTACGATGGCGCCTGTGCCACCGACAACCGATGGTAGCCACCTGTATAATCCTGGGCCGATTCTGCCGAGTGCTGATACTGATAGAGCGCATCAACAGAGCCGAGCGATAAATCCCATGCCGAATTCATTGACCCGGTTGATTTAACGTTAGGAGTTGATGTTTACAGCATCAAAGTTATGGAGCACAGAACCGTTTGGGTAGGTAGGTATAACTGCGCTTACATCCATTGGACAATTAAATATGCCGACCGCCGACGTAAATACGAAGGCTGTATTAGAAGCACAGCCGTTTTTGAAGGCTTTTATGAAAGGTTTGCACATGAATCTGCGAGACGTTCTCTGGCGATACAGAGTGGCTGCGGCGGTGGCGAGCGGGGCGGCTGAAGCCCTTTGGCAGGCGTCCCAGTTCTGGCTGGCAGAGTGGAGTTCGCCAGACGCCATTGTTGTCTGCTGACTGCCATCCGCCCCGATGACGTGGCCCGGGCTGCTGGCGGTCCTCATCGTATAGAGCCAGGCCGGGCTGCTGGCGGTCATCACGGAGCCAGGTCGGGATGCTGATGGTCCTACTCCTCATGGAGCCAGGTCGGGATGCTGATGGTCCTCACGGAGCCAGCTCGATCCACCATAGTCTGGAGTCCACACGGAGCCAGCTCGGTCTAGGGCCTGTCCAGTGTAGATGTTGCAGGCACTTTAGAAAATCAGTTATTTTGTAAAATGCCTAGGCATTTTGCAAAATGCCTGATTTTTCAGGCTTTTTGCAAAAAGCCTAGGCATTTTACAAAATGACTGACTCTCCAGTCATTTTGCAAAATGCCTAGGCATTTTACAAAATACCTAGCCATTTTACAAAATGACTGAGCAGCGTGTTGTAGATACGAGTACCTAATTATATACGTTTTGATAGCGTGTAGGTGGACCGAGGAGTCCAGCATTATGACCAGAGGAGTCCAGCAGTGGGAAGTCCATACCTACCTCTCTCTATTTTGAGAAGTGCAGGTCCGCGACATTTCCAACCCCCACGTCAGCGACGCTGCTGGATTTAAAATGATCGATCTGGAGCGTCAACAAACGACTGGACCTATGCCGGCCTGTATCTGTAAAACCATTAGAGGTCGCGAGGATTCGATCCCACACACTTAGGCGTGTGTCTTCTGAAACCAACGCTCTCGTCCTACGCCAAGCGACCTGATGATTCTCCCGATGTGGAGCTTGATATTTTTAACTGGGACCATGCAAGTAGGCACTCAAAGCTGTCAAACAAAGACACAATCAAACAAAGACTACACTCATTCGTTTAATGTAATTGTACATCAACCGGGCCTGCCTATTGACTAAGGCCGGTCTCCGGCTGGTTTTGTTAGGTCTAGTTTCAGGCAGAACATGAACGGCGTTGATGTACTTGGGAGTTTTTACAGCGTTAACTAAACAATGCGTTATGCTACAGCCGAGTCTGCAACTCAACCTGGTCGTTACTCAGCATTGTCGTCGTCACAGAGCTTCAAATCGATCAGCTACAGGCTGAACACGTACCTATAGGATATAGGAAGACGTCCAAAAACTGTTGGCCATAGTATCTGTAGTGGGATCTACGTTCCATGCTGGTCAGGCATTTTGCAAAATGCCTAGTCATTTTGTAAAATGGCTAGCCATTTTGAAAAAAGCCTGGTTGCGTTCAGTCATTTTTCAAACAGCCGTCTTTTTGTAAAATGCCTAGGCATTTTACAAAATGACTGATTTTCTAAAGTGCCTGCAACATAGATACGAAGCCATATTGACCCATTTCGATTCTGTGATCCACACAGAGCCAGGCCTGTCCATTCAAAGAGAGCCAAGCCTACCCTAAGTGCGATTTAACCATCAGCCTGACCATTGTGTGGACGCCGTCCATTATACAGAGCCAGGCCGATCACGGGCGGCTCGAACGACGCCAGGCCGATCTTGGGACGGTGACGTATGCCAGCTACCCGTCTAAAGGTGGCACTCCTCAGACCCGGTGTGGTGCCTGTGATAGTGTGACAACTGCTCAGGCCGACACCCACGACGTGGCCGCTCGTCTGGCGGAGGGTGACCGGGTGGGCTGGAGCGGGGACGGGAGACATTTTGATGGGACTATGATCACCGACCAGGATTCACTGCTGTGACAGGTCGCTGACACCAACATCAAAATCCAGTCGATAGCCAATGGATTATTGCTGTGCCAGATGTTGGGCACTTTCTGCACACGTGTGCGATCGTTGATAGTGATTCATTTTCGGCAATAACGACTTAGGAGTCTCTCGGTGTTTGGTATTTCAAATGGTGGAGCTTGAGTGGTTCTGACGTGGCACATTAATTAGGTACACTGTCACAACACATTAACCGGGGCTCCAGTCTGTCTGAAGCGCTCTCCCCACCCCTCTTTCTCTCCCACTCACTGAAATAGCTGCTATTTTCATCCATATTCACCAGCTCTAAGGCAAGAGTTCGCCTCCTATCACGGCAAATTCTCATGGTGTGCTATAAATATGTTACCCTCCATCGGACAGGGAAGTAACAGCCTCGCTTGCATGCCAGCCTGAGCTGTGCACCGGTCCCGGGGCCGGCAGTTACGGTCCACTGGCTCCCACCACGACCTCGGCCAGCCCTGCCAACCCTGCACGGGGTGTGTCGGCAGTGCCCGACCAGCCCGACTCGGTAGGTACATCACGCCCCAAAGACGGCGTGCGTGAACCGAGCTGCACGGCAAACGCGACAGTCACGCGGGCCTAGGCGCGGATCACGGTTTGTACCGATATCGCTGCAGGGACAATAGGGACTGGGTGTGACAGGGTGGTGTAGGTGTGCTCAGTCGCGGCGTGATGGTTGTTCACACAGTCTGAACAGGGCTAAGAGACTGGCTGTGTCTGGGGTGATGAGTCATTACTCCGATGCTTGGGTCTGGCTTGTTCAGTCTTTTTCCGACACTCGGCTGTGCCTGGGATTCTGTATTTCGATACTCAGTTGGGTGGGCCTGGACTCGTGAGGCCTGTTTTTCGACGCTCAGTTGCCCTTTCTGAGAAGTCTCCGACGCTCTGTTGGGTATGCTCGTGGAATATGTAGTCTGACTCCCAGTTACGTAGGTTGCATCCTTGGCTGGCCACATGACCCCGGGGTACACAGTGACCCATCTTTTCCCGGATCTCTGTATCGCCATTCGGGCGGTCGGCCGGTCGTCGCCTGAACGCCGCGTCTCCGCCTCCCTCTGCGGACAGCTCGGCGGCGTCTCGCCACTGCAATGGCATGCAGCGGCCGCATCAGCCGCCCAAAAAAGGGCAACCGACCGCCTCCTCGCCGCCGGTGACCCGCAGCGCTCCCCGCCGCTGCAGCTCGCCCGACCGGCCGCCAGACTGGTTTTAAACCGCGGCCGTGGGCGCCTCCACCGCTGCCGTCGATGTCCGGATGACGTGATCCACCGACACAAATCGAACGGATCACGTGAGGAGCTGGACGTCGCGGCGGCCGGTGCGGATCACCCGCCGGGGCGAGGCTCAACCCTCCCCAGTGCCGAACTGCGGAGGCGGCTCGGCGCGGCTCCTTCTGACTCTCCGTGGGCGGAGGACGATCAGATGGAGCACGCGTTGAGGCGGTCCGCTCAGCCGTCTGTCCTTCACACTCCTCCACACGCACAGCCGGTTGGGGCGGGCGGAGCAGGCCGACCCTGAACAGAGCCACCATGAATCCATTAGCGTTCGATGGACGGGCGTGTCGGGACGACCTTGTGTGGAGCCGAGTGCTGCGGCGGGGGCGGTCAGCGCGCACAGCTGTGATGATATGCACCGGTGTGCACACCCGTGCACAGTGGATGGATCGGGTGGTCACTCTTTCTGCGGGTGTCGCGCGGTTTTCGCCGCAGCGTGTCGCGATGTGACACGATAGTAGCACCTCCGGGTCACTGAGACACGATATAGTAGCACCTCTGGGTCACTGAGACACGCACGCACACCCGGTCAGGGTCGCTCGGCCGCCTCCGTGCCATCGATATGCATGAGGCGGGATGTCGCCGCCATCTGTTGTGAACAGGTACGGATGAATGGTGTGAGGCTAGCCCGACCCATCTTACGACCGCCAGTTCTCCACTGCATGGTTCCCAGGGTCACCCGCTGTCGACCGAGAGAGTTTGTTTGTGTAGTGACCAACCTCCTAATGGGTCAAGTTGTCCGGCGAGGCAGGCCGTTTTTGCTTCCGTAAAAAGCCGAACAATAAATTACGCCATGTTTGGTAGAGGAGCCTTACACACGCGACAGGCACTGTCCCGAGTGGGCGGAGGAGCACGCCGATGTTTTCGCCACATCGGTGTTGGTCTGGGTCGTCGCGCGGCAGCGGCCTGAGACCCAGTGTTCGGTTGATGGATGTTCTGCTCAGGTGAGCGAATCGCTGAATACGAACAGACGGGCAGCCGGCTCAAAATAGATGCACGTATTTTATAATTCCGGACGCCGCCCGTCTTCATAAACAGGCCCGATGAGACGCATTGCTTTATTTGCTGACCTTGCCAGCTCCTTTACCTCCGTTGCTATTGGAATGGTCCCGATTTTCGTAAGTGAGTCGCAAAACGACTATAGTAAGGGGGATGACAGAAAAATTATTTGCTTTATCATCAATCATCTCGTAATGCCCTGTGTGTTTACTGGCCTCAGTTTGCTCACACCCCAGCTGCCACACATAACACTGCATTTCGGCTTTAATTCGTAATGTTTCGCGATGATATCAGATATCATCCTGACCCCTGTTCTCCCCACAGACACCCTTCTGACTGACCTGAACGAGTCGGTGGGCGCGGGCCGCCCGTCAGCCGGCGGCTCCCAGCAGCGCTCCGTGGTGCCCTCGTCCGGCTCCGGGCTGGTGACTGAGCGTCAGGGGGTGGCCGGCTCTGGCGACTTCCACGAGCGGCGCGAGTACACCTCGCCCGACCAGCGCACACACGTGGTCGAGGAGCGCTTCGAGAAGACGGCGCGCGGAGACGGCGGGGTGAGTGAGAGCAGAGAGAGGACTGAGCGGGGAGAGAGGGCCTGGTCTGAGTGAGTCTGTGATGCGGTGCATGTGAGTGTCCACTGTCTGCCTCTCTACTCTCTACCTGAGTTGTCTCGAGTTGTTGGTGTCTATCTGGGCTCCGGCTGAAGGCCCGGGTCGGGTCGGTCGCGGGCCGCGGGTGTTGGGGTACGGGCGAAGGGGTGTGATTCCAGGGCTGAGAGTACCACAGGTAAGCCTGGTTCAAGAGTCGGTGCAGGGAGGTTCGAAAGGTGGACACTCCTGCTCGATCCGGAGTTACGACAGCAAAGTTTGGTTACCAACTAATCTCACAGATTATGGCATAGCTTGGTTGCAGGCCCGATACTCAGCAAAATTTAAGCTCAGGCTACAACACCCAATGGCGTGCCAGTTCTGCCAGTGCTAGAGAAACGCTGGTTCAGTCGCAGCCGCAAGAGCAATGCCGTCCATCCTTTGAACCTGCGATGACACGCAAAAGTTTGCCAACGTTGTTTGGTGTTTTCTCTCATTTTTCCATCTTTCAAATATTTAACTTTAACGTCTCTTTTTCCACTGACTGCCGTCATTTTATTGATTGTGAGATAGAGGTTGCGTCAGTCACTCAGCAGTGTCCGGGTTTCCTCTTCAGACTCGGCACGGGCCGTTCTACGAACCTCAGTCCGGTAGCCGCTACCAATCCTCCCGCTCTACCACCTACCAGCGTAGCAGCGAACCCCCTGCCACCAAACAGACCGCATCACCGCTCGGCAGTCCGGGCCGCACCAGCAGCCGCACCACCACAGAGACAGTGCGCGAGCAGCGGCACCACACCGCGCCGCAGCCGGCCGCCAAAGCCGAGTCACACTATCAGACGGTGCGCACCGTATCGGAGCAGTCTCCGGCGTCCCCGACAGCGGCGACCGCTCCCCGCCAGCCGCGGGTGATTGAGTACACGGAGGAGCTGGTACCGGCAGAGTCGCGTACCACGCGCACAGAGTGGCAGCGTCAGGCGCCCCCCACTACCTACACATACTACGAGTCGCCGCCGACGGAGCGGCGGTCCGCCCGCACGGTGACGCAGTACCGCTACCCGGCGGTGGGCTCCCCGCCGCCGCCGCAGCGCGTACAGTACTACGGCGGTACCGAGTACCCGGACGGCAGCCCGGTCACAGTGCGGTACGTGGACCGACGACCCGTCACCGTCTATCATGACGGGAAGTACACGGCCGCCCCCGAGCTGCCGCCGCCGCCCCGCTCCGCTCCGGTGTCCCCGCGCTCAGACTCGGGCGCGGCCACTGTATACTACGAGCGTATTATCGAGCGGCAGCCGATTATCCACTACTACGGCGGCCGGCCGGAGGACGAGCCGGCCCCTGCGCCGCGCTCCTCCACACTGCCGGCCGGTCAGCGCCTCACCACCACTCAGTACACGGAGCAGCGCGGCCCGCACGCCCGCTCCGGCGCCACGCTGCCGCCGGGCCAGCTGCTCAGCAGCAGTAGCACTCAGACCACCCAGCTCAGCTCCTCTGAACGCACCGCGTCCTCTGCCGCCGCCCCGGCCGGCCTGCAGCGGGCCCCGCGCGACCGCAGCCCGGAGCCCGTCAGCGCCACGGTACGTCAGCCGCGGTCCGGCCCGGCCCGGTCCGGCCCGGCCCGCTGCCCTCCCCGTGTGCGCGCCCCGGCGGCAGACGGGACGGCTGCTGCGCCGGCCACGCTCACTCCCTCTCCACTCAGTAACAGTCAATGCGCGCCACGCCATGTGCGACTCAGCGTCCGCATGCCTGTGCATTCGCGCTGTTCCCAACGCCCCCGAGCCAGCCGCGTGTGCGCGTGTGGCGTCACGCTTCTAAAGGCACAGTCCGCGTGCGATTAGCGTGATGTTGTTCATACCATGTGACGGCATGCTACGAACTTGTGGGTTTTATCGTCCAGTCGATGTCCTTTATACATATGTGTGTTGATGTGTGTTTGATTGACCAGTGTACGGTAACCAGCTGTCTGCATGCTGCTGCCTCCCCGTAGTCGTGTTTGGCCCCGTGTGTTCTGACCGGGCGTGTGCCCTACCGGCCGCCCTGTGCCCTCCAGGTGCCCGGCCGACTGTTTATATCTAACCGATACCAGACTAACAACGGGCTGACGACTAACCGCTGGCCGACCGACCACCGCCGCGGAGACTACGGCCCGTCACGACCGGCGCACGACCTGCGCTCACCGGACGCCGTGCGCTGCGAGCCCAACTACGGTCGAACGGAGCCTGGCTACGGTCGAACGGAGCCTGGCTACGGCCGCCCGGACCACGGTTACGGCCGCCCGGAGCACGGCTACGGCCGACCGGAGCCCCGGTCGCCCGACGGGCTCCGCTCCGAGCCCGACTACGCCCGCGGGTACGACTTTCCGCGGCGCGGCCGCGACCTGCCCGACGACCTGCGCTCGGAGCCGGACTACGCCGGCACCGGCGGAGTCGGCGGCGAGCCTGAGCCGTGGCTGTGGCGCGGCCGGACCGGCTCCGTGCGCAGCGTCACCAGCGCGCCCAGCCGGCAGCCGAGCGACCCGTTCGGCCGCCGGCCCGGCTCGGCCCGCGCGCCCGGCCACGGTCGCCGCTCGCCGCCGTACGCCGAGGTGTACCGCAGCACGGCCGAGACGTACCGCAGCATGGCCGAGCCGCCGTACCGGGCCGAGTCGTTCCGCGGCGCCGGAGAGCCGTACCGCGGCGCCGGAGAGCCGTACCGCAGCGCCGGGGAGCCGTACCGCGGCGCCGGAGAGCCGTACCGCAGCTCGACAGAGTCGTACGGCTACAGCCGGCCGTACCAGCCGCCGAGCGGGTTCGCGAGCGCGCTCAGCCCCGTCCAGCCGACAGCTAACCGACCTTCTACTAACGACGGCTTCCGTCTGGACTCGGTACGGCCACTGACCACGGGGTGTGTCCCCTCTCCTCGGTCCTGTCCTCTATCGTGTACTCTACCCTGTCCTGTGTCCTATACCCTGTCTTGTGTCGTGCCCCTTCCTTTACCTTGGCCTGTCCTGTGTCCTGCCCTTTGTCTGTCCTTTGTCCCATTTTGTGTCCCACCAAACGTCTATAGTGCTGTTTCCTATCCTATGGTTTCCGCTTTCTGCAATATGTTCATTTCGATGAAGTAGATCCTCCAGACATCGAGGCATCTCCACTCTAGACTTATTTTATCCCGCGGAGGACCTGACTATCGCCCACTTCTCACACATCACTCAGAGCCCAGAGGTCAGTCAGCAGACCTTCTTTGTCGACCGATCGGTCACCTAGGTCCATTGTCCTCCATTTTCCCGTCAGTTCCTGTCGCCCTCTGAGATGGGTCCTCGGTCATCAGAGGCGACTGTTTCTCTCGCGACTAGCCCCAGTTTCGCCATGGCTGTCTCTGGAGCTACCGACCTCCGAGTACGTCTTGTTACTCTACTTTTCCGTCGTGTTTACAATAATTATGCCACCGTCTCGGTCATTTCATTTTCCGTTACTTCTGCCAGCCCTTGCCAGGGCCCGATTCTAGTCACTGTCCTAGTCATATCCACTCACTGCAGTTTACCTCAGCACATTGGTCAACCCTTGCCGAGCTGCATCGTTCCACCATTACACCATTCTAATTGTCGCCATTCTGCAGCCGATAATTCCTCTGTCCGAGCCGCCCTGTTGCAGCCTGAGTCACCAGCTCTCCCGGGGACTGATGACGTCAGTAAACAGATGACGTAGCTAGGCTATGTGTGACTGCAGTACCCCCTGTACCCAGTAAGCATATATTGTGTGCTGTGTTGCAGAGCCTCAGGCCGTAGTCAGACCCCTGTTTGCAGCCGCTCACCATTAAACTGGGTTTGTAGTGTCTCTAACACCAAATAACACTAAACTCGGTGTAGTGGTGTCCGTCCAACGCCCTTTACTCATGAATTGAATATGTCACGGCTAGTGCTGTGCAGAAAGTCCCAACGCAGTTAAGGTGACAGTTTTGCACGGTGGTCAGTCCCATGTCTTTGTGAAGCTATGTGTGGGAAGATCCGGGTAGGCTCCCATGTTGTGTGCTCATTCTTTTCTCAGCGCGATTCCTGTCATTCCCACAGTCGTCTGCCCTCTTCGTTCCTTACAGCTCAACTTGGCCACTTGTATGGAACCAACCAAGCTTAACTCCGCATTAGTTATGTTCGGTTTAGCGGTATATCGATTCCGTAAACGTCTCGGTCTGAAGCGTCTGCTGCTCGGGACACTCGTCAACCTAGTTAAAGGGGGCGAATTCCATGACAGTGGAGCAGCGTGCGTCCCTAGTCCACCAGGCAGTTTCCTGCGGCCAGTCTGCCACCGGCGCTCAGTTCAGGGTCGTCTGGCACCGCCCCACTACCGTGAGTCCGTGGAATCAGCGAGCGTGACCGCTGGCCGTCGGCGCCTCCGGGCGGGCTGCTGACCGCTGTACGGCCGGTCAGAGCCGGCTGACGCTGCTGGCTCCGAGCTCAGCTGGCTCCTAGCTTAGCTGATTCCTAACTCAGCTGACTAGTGAGGATGGAAGGCGGCGCCGTACAGGAATAGCGCGACTGCGGCCAACCATGCAGTTAACTCCGATGGTGCTCCATGTGTTTTGGTAAAGTTAGACGGTTGTTTATTGACGTTCAATCTTGCAACGACCTATGAACTTGATACCGTGGACATTTAAAGCGAGACGAGTTCTTAAGAATCTTAGTTCGTCGTAATCGATATAAAAACACATGCCTTTGTTCCCTAGTGGTTGGTAGGATAGTAGTTTCCCCTGTTCTCTCTGAGGACAGTGACATCAGGCGGCGCTCAGCTGGGCCGGAGTGGGGTCTGCTCTGTTTGTGACAGCCCCGCCCCGCTGGCCCGCTGCCAGGTGGACGCGGGTTTGACGCCGCCGTGACCCGGTCAGGATGCGGCTGCCAGAGGTGCTTAAAAACGGCGTGCCACGTCACCGCCGATTCAAATGAGCAGACAGTTTTTGTGCGGCCTTGGCGCCGTTCTATTTGGAGACCAAACAAAACACTTGAGCCGGTGGGGGACGGTGCCACCATTGATGTCAGTGCGTGAAGGAATACTCTGCGGCACCGTGTGTGGAAAATCAGCCATGTTTTCCCATTGACAGCGAGGACAAAGGACTCATCTTCAGATGCACTTCTTGCTTTACGAACAATGGTTGGAAACTTATTTTCAATGACCGTCAAACAGTCTTTACCAACTTTGCTTTCATGTGGCTTACGAATAAGGCACTTGTTTCGTGCTAACCGACTCGTTAAATAGCACTACGCGGGTTTGCTGCTCCATGACGCGTTCTCTTTCATGTCGAGTTCGTATGCGCCTTACCACTGACTGTCTGCCATATCTGCCGGGCCGGGCCCGTTCTCAACCCTGCAGCTTGGTTGAACCCAGTGCCGTGCCCGCTCTGGGCCCTGCAGCCGGCCGTGTGCCCCAGGTCGGCCGGTTCCGCGAACCCAGCGGTCGTGCTCGGCGCCGGCACGACGCGGCTGATCGGTATCGGCCGTCCCGGGGCGCCCGCTGGTCGGCGCCGCGCTGCTGTGGAGACCTTCACCTCGGCTTGACACTGCCTGTATCGGGTGATGTGTCCATTCCAGGATACGGCAGCTCGAAGACAGTCCGAGGGACGCATTTGGAGAGTAGAACAGTCAGGGATGCGTCACTCCGTCACTCGAAGCGGTTAAGATCCACCGTCAATGCCTGAGTTGTTTACCTTTCCTTACGTAAGTCTCCAAAAGAGCTGGCTGTTTGTATTGGAAGACTACTTCCGGTTGACCGAAGTGCTGCGCTGTATCTTACATAATCCTCTGAAGAGCCCGATCGAACCAAATAAGGTTTGCCGACGTCAAGGCTGCCTGTACTGCCGTAGCCTACGATGAGTAGCCTACTCATCGGACCGACCGCCGCGTCATCCCGGCGCGTGTCACCCGGCCTGCTCCCAACAGATGGGTCTGAATCACGGCGCTGCACGGACGCCCGGTGACTTCAGTTCACCGGAGCGGGCGGTGGGCGTCTCGACCTTGCATCCCACACAGGGCACGGGGCTCGGACCGCAGACGCCGCCTCCTCCCGGCCCGCCAGTCGTCAGTGGTGCGGCGGTAGTGCTGCGGCAGCTGTCGGTTCGTGACCGTGACGTCCGGGTCAGACCGGCGCCGTGACCGATCAAACTCGGAGGAAGGGGAGCGGAGGTGTGTGCGGAGCCCGGTGGTGGGGTTTCTCTATCGGTGCAGGTGACCCGTGGGTCACGGTGTGAGGTGTCGGTTTGTGACGGACGTGGGAGCGGTGGTCGCCGACCGGGAAAGCTGAGAGACCATGGCGGAGACGGCTGTGTTGATGCAGCAGGTGAGCGCTGCGGGAGACGGGATCCAGCAGACAGGGGTGTGCTGTGAGTCGGGGAAGCCTGTGCAGGCACTCCGAACAGACTAACAGAGCCAGCCAACCACGGAGACAGCTCTGGGAACTTCTCCAGCTGTGGTCCACCTCTGGTGAAGAGCTATTTACATGCTGATGAAAACCCTATTTGTCTGAGATTCCCGTCCAGTTGAGACCCGATCGAGTGGGAAGCCCTTCGATGGCTGAGAACTCGCCGTCAGCTGGTGCGAGATATCTTAACCTACCTACTCACCCCGGCCGGGACCCCTCCGGGCGCTGTGAGAGCGTGCACCGGGCGACGGCCATTACCGAGCGGTGAAAAGTCACGACTCTGTCATTTATCGGACGATTTATCACCAGTTCGTGGGTGATCCGCTGGCAGGATGTACTCAGACCAAGTTTTACAGCTTTAGTGACATTGTTTTAGGTCCATGTATGTCTTTTCTATTCAGTCATGCAATTCCTGATTTCTGGTGAAGCTAGTTAATTCGCTTCCGTCATCGGTTGCCGAGAAGCCTCCTTTGTCGGTGAGTTGAGTCAGAGTGGGGTGCCGGTTTTGGTACCGTTGGCACGGCCTGTTGACTCGGACCCGCTGGTTTCCGAGGCGGGCACGTATGACGTGTCGACACGGTACATTGCCGATTCCAGACTCACACCTCAACAGAACAGTGCGACTGCAAGTGTCGTGAGCTGCACGAGTGCACAGTGCACCGAACCGGTCACACGAGGACTACAGACCAGCCTGTGTCGCCGATTGCTGTCGTGAAATTACGGTCCTAGCTCCAGGTCCTGTGGTCTTCAGACAGACCCGGTAACGTGTAGAACTGTGGATTACGTGATCCATTGGATGTGCAGGCACCTAAACCATGGAATCGGGAGACGAACCGGCTTAGTCCAACATTAACGGCTACCAGAGCGACTCCAATGTGACCCTGACCCATAGCTAAGCTAGGTAAATGACGATCGCTTCATTTTACTGTGCTGAAGCATTCTTCCGATCGAAAAGCAAACAGTGCTCGGCAGCATAGCTGAATCATCATTTGCCGCAGCGGCAGCCGCGCGTACCCCACCCAGATGGCCACGGACCCGAGCTCCGCCCGTACCCCGTCCGCCCGCTCACAGCTGGTGCTAGCGGCGTGTGCTGCGTCGGCGTCACCGCCCGTCGCCGCCCGGCGTCGCAGTCACTGCAATGTGACCTTGAGTCGCGTCGGCCGCCGCGGCTGAGTGGCAGTTGTGGGGGAGGGGAGGGGGAGGAGCGTGGAGAGGGCAGTAGGGTGGTCAACGCGACAGGACAAGCCGCGAATCTAGAGCGTGGAGTTGAGATGAAGGCTCTTAGGTGTTGTTTTTATCCGCTGGGACTGAGAGCGTGAGATGATGTTTTCGTACTCCAGCGTAGATGGGTAGCCATACGGCTTCCACGGTTGACAGTGATAATTGATAATTCCACGGCCCAAAATGCCGTGGAATTAATTGATAAATTCGATAATTGATAAATTGCAGGCTGCAGTGATAATTCCACGGTTGAAGTGATAGCACCGTCTGCGAGGGGTGCAGGCTGCTGCGAGGGGTGCAGGTTTAAAGGACTTGGTCTGTATAGCTCAGAGGTAGAGCATTGGAGCGTTAATCCAAGGGCCCGGGGTTCGAGCCCCCGTACAGCCCAAATCTTTAACGAGTTTGCAAAAGAAGACTGATGTCATCACTGTCAACCGTGGAAGCCGTATGGCTAGGGTAAGGGCGGGTAAGAGTACGCGGGCGATAAGAGTACGCATCAGCTGTTTCGGTTGCTTAGCAACGCGGGTTTGTCGAGTTCATGAAGTGACATGAAGCCGCCAGTGCGTGCTTGTCACCGACGGAACGTGGGCGTTGAGCGGCGACGCTGTTGAGTTTAAGGCGATAAATATTATTTTCGAGCGTTATGATATTATTATGGTATGGTACAATAATTTTGATACTTGGCAGTTGAGATAAGGTACATTTCCGTGATTGTTGTGGGAAACTTGTGAGGTTAACTGGGGAAATACTGTGCAGTGCAATATTCTGTTTGCGAAGTTTTGCACAACGTTTCGGGGTTGTTTTGTGCGCGAATTGCATGTACGGTAAGAGGACGCACTGTTCAGGAGGGTAAGAGTACGCACTACGCAGAATTATACATTAACCTTCGCCCCAGTGGGGGGGGGGCATATGTTACCACCCTGTCGCGTTTTTTGCGTGTGAATAAAAAACCGCGGCGCGTAGCGCCGCGCCGCTTGGGGTAGCTTTTGGCATATCAATTTTGGACAATGTGTGAAATTTTTGACCCCAGGTCACGTCAGGTCAGGTCACCAGGTCAAGTTAACTGACCAAGCCTAAAAAAAAGTTTGCAATCATGTCCAGCCTGCAGTGTTTGTCAGAAAGGTCTTAAACTTGGTGGATTGCATGCAGTTATAGGCGCCTACAATTTGTATATCTCGGATTTTTTATATCCGTGACCTAAGGTCAGGGCAGTGGCGTGACCTTTCCATTACAAGTCAATGGAGAAAAATGAAAATGCCTCTAGATCCGTGTGTACGCATGGGAACAGTCCAAATATTTCAGAATCACAATGATTTAGTCCACTCGTGATGACCGAGGTGTCATTTTTGCTGATAGCCTCTAGAAAGGTCATCCGAGGTCATTTGAGGCTACAAACAGTTTTTTGCCAATAACTCGCGATTGGAAAGAGATAGAACGCTGGGGATGGTCTCATTGTATTTGTCTCGTTGAGACGCATCGATTGATATGCAGCATGACCTTTTCCGGTCAGGTCATCACCTTGACCTGAGGTCAAATTTTCAAGTTGACCTTTCAAGGTCAAATTATAGTTCATTCGACGCGTCTCGGCGAGGGGAACACGATTCTGGCAATAAAAATGTCGTGGCTTTTTGTAGTCGAAAGTTATTGTCGAAAAACACTTTTCATAAAAACAGCTATTTTTGGAGTATTTGCCCTCTGCAGGCTAAACCGTTGACCTGAGGTCAATATTTATAATGACCTTTTCAAAAGAAGAGATCAAAAGCCATCGATTGCTTTTTCATGCGTTTTTCTAGCTACCATAGTTTCTGAGATAGCGGCATGTTTTCTGAAAAATATTATGACAATTGGCAAATTTTGACATTTGATGACCTCTGGTGACCCCAATATTGCTCTAAGGTGAAAAATGACCGAAATACTTTCAAACGTACGCATTGAGAGCTATCGACTGCTTTTTACCGCGTCTTTCTAGCCCTCTTAATTTTGAGTTAGAGGTGGGTGGTAACATATGCCCCCCCTCACTAGGGCGAAGTTGGCTGAGACCGCCACTGGGGCGCGGGTTAAATCGAATATACAGAAATATAAGATTATTAATCTATCGCTCAATGACGTTTGTTTTGTAGGTATATCATCAATGGAGCACTGTGATGCAGATGGGTACCTACCCGAAATTCTTCCAAATACGAGTTATTCTGTCTTTTGATTGTGCATTTTTTTAAAGAAACACACGACATGATTATTTCCTGATTTATAGACTTGAAATATTTATTTTATGTTTTTCTTTTTGGATACTAGAATTAACTTAGATGCCTTCTGGTTTGAAGTTAAGCATTTGGACAGTACAAGCTGCATAGGCGTGTGTTCATATGCTTGCGTACTCCACCCGCCTGGCGTGCGTACTCTTACACACCCCATATGGTAAGAGTACGCAACTGCAGTGGTTCAGAAAACGTCAGTTTTAGACCACTTCCATTTACGCTGAAGGATCGTTGCCCCATGGGTTGATGGCTAATTCAATGAACTTTAATATTCCCTATTTGCCATTTCTTTCTTTCAAATATTAAACAAATGAGAGCAAGAAATCCACTAAGTGCGTACTCTTATACGACTTAACCCTACTCATCTACGCTGGAGTGCAAAAAACATCATCTCATGAGATGAAGGCTATTTGATATAGGTTTTTGATATAGGGATTTAGGTTTCTGAAAAGCTCGGTTTTCTTGCCTTTTACGAAGATCGGAGGCTGATCTGATGGGACGGTCCGTAATACCAAACAGTGTGTGGGCTGCAGCTCGTCAGTCTCATGTTTTATTGATGGTGGATCAGAGCTTCCCTTTTTCGTCCACCGTTCGGAAATCACACGGGACCTTTGGTTTTATTATTTATCCCGATAGACTTTAAGACGCAAAATGACCTTATAAAGATTCTTGATAGCCGATTCATCATCGTTCTTTTCACTTTTAAAGTGATATCTTTCAGCCATCATGGCTAAAGATAGGCTGAGCCTGGAGCTACGTTGAACAAAACATCCGTTGGTCCTTCATTTCCCCTCGTCCCACACATCGCAGGAGCTGATTCTGTGTATGCGTGTGACCTGTGTCTTGTGCTGTGTTTATTGTTTATGATGTTGGGGTTCTGTCTCTCGAGAAAGGCTGTTCTCTTCAGTAATACCTAATGGTGATGTTACCTCTCAGACGGATGGAAGCCAGATCCTGTGTGTAGACCGTGCAGTGTGTGTTTATGTGGTGAACTTCAACTGACGGACGACAATGTTACAGAGCCAGTCGGTCACCAAGCAGGTCTACAAGACGAGCTCCTACTCTGGAGACAATGCCGCTCCACAGACACAACGTAAGTGACAACATTCCAACTGTTATTCAACCCTCCCTCACTCCGTAAAGGTGTGATATGTAGTGTATAACAGCTTATAACTTATACAGGTGATATAATTGGGTGTGTCATTAAGCTGGGAACAACCTGTCTTCCGGGATATCTTATGCTGTCTAAGCCGCCCGTAGCGGTCGCCACCCCTTCTGTACCGTTGCAGTGCTCTGCGCTGCCGTCTATTCCCAGTCGTGTACCTGTCTGTCTATAACCGACAGTTCACACGGAGTGTTCAGTTGAGAGCGGGCCACCTCTCCCCGGACAGACGCAGCTGCCTCGCCCCTCAGCTGGTGCCCACTCAGCTCGGAAACCAGCCCTCCCACACCCCTCCCCCTGACCACGCACCGCTCCCCACTGCTGGCACGGTCCCAGCTCTACTTCATCCCCTCCCCTGCCCAACACTGAGCCTCAGAGGCGCGGCTGTCTGCTGTCCAGACTTTATTTGTTTCGAGATCGAGAGTAAAAAAACGCTGTTTTGTCTCGTGACCAGCACATAAAGCTCTGTTTTGTCTTGTTTGGCCGGCACATTGTATGCGCCTTGTCTGTCGGGTCTGAGCCGACCACTGTCTGTATAGATCAACCCTCGGTGACTGACCGGTATCAAGTAAACACTCCCCGACGGTGGTGTGAGGGCGGATGGGTCAGCGTGTCCGGATCTGCTGGACGCTGGGATGTCTTACTCTCTGTGCTGTTTGACGGGGATGACGGCCAACAGCGATCACAGGCGATGCACATTAGATTAACGATGGCTCACTGATCAGTTTTTAATGCATGCAATGTGCTGCGTCCGTATTTTTTTTTTTTAGGCATGATCGTCTTACCGGGCCTTGGTCTTACCGATCTGCCGAATTCGTTAGCCCCGAAATGAATGACATTAGTATCGCTTTGCGCGTTAAATCTGACCTTGGCATTATAAACTAGTTTCGTTGGCTCGTTACGCGGACTCGTCTCTGACGCAACGCTTTATCAATGCTCATCTGCTGCTCCCGGTTATTGGTGTGACCACCCTAATCTGACTGTCCCTACTCCCGAGTTTGGCTGTGTGTTTCGAAATCCACCCGAATATCTCTCCAGTTGGCTGTCTGTCGTCTAATCGGTGTCTGTTCTGTCGACAGCTTCCAGCCAGCAGCAGGGCGACCCGTCGCGCTTCAAACAGAACATTCTCGAACTCGACAGTCTGCTCGACGATCTCGACCATGCTCGCAAGAAGCCGGGAACGAGTGAGTACAACCGCGCTTCTTAGTGAAGCTTCCGTGGAGCGAGCGCCCCAACAACTGAGATGTATGTACAGCTGACCTTGACACGTTTCTTCCTTTACCGGCTCCTAGCCATACATACTAGCCGATCACTGATGTGATAATACGCTCGTATGTGATTCAGCCGGACAGACATCATCCTGACGTGTGAGGTCATACGGGCGCCCTGTACTCGACAGCCTTGCTGTAGGATGTCCGATACTGACACCGGATTTGACTTTTACCGTCATTTGAGGCTTACCAGATATGGTCATATTCCCGAGCGCGATAATGGCTGGCGTGTGCGCTGCTGTCACCCGTGGTTAATTTACAGAAGCATGGTGGAGGTCACATACCGGGTGATCATTTTTGAATGATACAAAAACATTTGTTAATATCAGCCATGTGTTAAGCTGGATAGTTAAACCAAACACACCCATCGAACACGTACGGTTGGACATTTTATCTGGAACACACAGTCAGTCATTAATGTCAATAGCCAGCTTAGAGGAGGTGCCCAAAGAATGCTCCCCTCGCGGACCGCCGACCAGCTGAGCTCCGCTCGATGCCGGGTTTGTCTGACCATTTTCTGCTGATTATCGCCGTCCCATGCTCCGGGTAAAGTCTCCTTCTACCACTATTAGATGTGCAATTGTCTTCGGCTCACATCTGACCACACCTGTCATTAGGTGAGGCCAGACACTCAAGTACAGTCACGAGAAGTCCGGGCTGTAAGACGGGTGGTCGTGCTCGCTTATTCGCAAGCTGCAGGCTTACCAGCTTTGGGACACGGGAACTCAATGACAGGAGCGGATGTTTATTTGTTTATTTCTCCAAAAACATGTGTGGAGAAGCACACTCTTGTTGAAAAGAGTGTCGGAGACGCGTGAATTAGTCATACAAAGCCGGCCAAACGACAGGTTACAGCATTCTCTAGAAGGCCGTACCGTTCCCGGGTCCGCCAAACCAGTGCACTCGAACGCACTTCCATCAACAATGTCCAGTGTCCACTTCGGAATTATTGTTATTCTTAGTGTCTCCGTGCACTCCAAGATCCTTTGCAGGTTCCAGGAAGCCCGTATAACCGTGCTATTGCCTTTGCACATGCGCCATGAACTAAAATTTGTTGTGTTGCAAAGCCATCCAGCTGAGATATTGCATCGTTACACTAAGATGTCCAAAAAGGGTATGCTTTAAAACGGATGATATTTACCGTACCTTAGGACGGACTTGGGCAATGTTGATACAAAACAAAATGTCCAAATGTCCCTCATGTAAACCAGCACGTGAAATCAAAATATCTTGTCCTATCTTTGCACGTGGCGACTTTCTTTTTGTATCATTCAAAAATGATCACCCGATATGTCAGATCTGCTCAATTATAACGGGTTACGCCTAATGGGCTCAACTTCCGCCCTTCGTGCACGTTTCGTGTCAACCCACCGCCCAAGCGAGAACAGGGGGATTTGATTTATTAGCGGAGGTGCATATTGCTGCCTTTGTTGGCCCGACTCGTTAATTCGTTTGACATTCCATTGTCGGGCTGTGTTCATCCCATTACTTCAGCGTTCATGCGCTCCCATTGGCCACATCTGTGCCGACTGCTCGGTGTCTGTCAGTGGTGACTGCACTTGGACAGTGTTTGGCGCCGAGGCGTGCTTCCTGCCCTCTCCCCTCCCCGCCGGCCGTCGGCGGCTGGCGGCCCTGGAGTCCATGCACAGCTCAATTGCAGTCAATCGCTGGTTATGGCGGGGAGGGGAGAGGGGGCAGAGGGCTGCCAAGGTCAGAGCGAGTCGCTGCGGGCCGGGGGCGCCGCTCGGACACAGAAAACAACTGGTCTGCAGCTGTTCTGTTCTGCAGCTGTTCTAGGCATGGCGTCGGAACACGACAACAGACGCTCACGCTATTCGTGCTGCGCTACCGCTACTCCTGCTAATCCGCTGTTCTCATTTTATAGCCTCTTTTTTCTGCTGTTTTTCTTCTACTCAGTTCCTTACCAACACCACAGCGGCTGATCTGCAGCGACCGAACCCCCACTGCTAGCCCCACCCGCGCCGTGCTGGTCTGAAATCCCTCCAACACTCCAGTGGTGATCTCCGTCCCTCGCGTCACCACGCCGCCGACTGTGCGCTGGCCCCTGTCACTATCGGCGCCGAGTCGCGCGCCGTGACGGGCCGCGTGACGTGTCGGGCGCGTCGGTCTGTCGGCGTCTGGGATATATCACCCGCCGCCGGACGCTACTCTCCGTCGTCGCCCTGGCTTCCGCCGAGTGCCACGATGTCTCTGTCAGATTCACGCCTCTGTTCACGGTGCTGTGTTGTAAGGCGATGACTGTGACTGCTGATGCGTCACAACCACCACACAGCGGACAGGACACGTTTTATGTGTGGATTTTTCATGTCTATGTGTGCGCCGCGTTGTGCTCTACCTGTAACATCGTGAGATTACATATACTGACAACCTGTTGTTTCTTGCTGTTTCAGATGGTGTTGACTCTACGAATACGTGAGTATTGCTCAGCTCACCCTTCGCTACGGTCTACTCTGGTAGCTATGAACTGCTCAACCGATCAACATTCCCCCTTAGGTGTTGCGTGGTTGTGTAGTCGCTTATCAACATGGTTCCCTCATAGTCTATTGTAGGCGCCCGACATGGACGAGGCGAACGACAGCCCTTCTGTCGAGTTTCCTGGAAACTGCAGATTAATGCCATAAAGCGCGGCCAACCAAAACTACTGCACGCCACTCCGGCAGAACAATCTCGCGATGAGTTGCTGCACCGTTCCGCCGTGGGCTGTTCTGTCGGCCGCTAATTTACAGACTCGGACCGAGCAACTGGCTCATTGATGGCCTTCCTCGGAGCGGGATCCAGTCCGGTTCATGGCTAGTGCAGTTTGCTGTGCACTCATCACTTGTCTTCGTTATGCCCCTGTCGCCCGGGGCTGGTGGCGTCATCAGGTCTGTGGCCGGCGGTAGACAGACCGTTGAACAAGCCCAGTATCTGAGAGGATGGAATGGGCGTTATCAAACTCAGCCGGATGGTGCGACGCCCGGTCCCATTGAGCGAGTCCGCGTCGCTCCTTTGTTGATCGTGGGAGAATCTGGTCCCAGCCAGCCAGTCGGCGAGTCGGCCGGCAGACAGCCCGGGGGCTCGCTGCAGCCTGCTCGCTGAGTTCACCCAGCCGACTCACTGAACTCACCCAGCCGACTCACTGAGATCACCCAGTCGACTCACTGAGTTCACTCAATCGACTCACTGAAATCACCCAGCCAACTCACTGAGTTCACTCAATCGACTCACTGAACTCACCCAGCCGACTCACCGAGCTCACCCAGCCGACTCACTGTTCACCCAGCCAACTCAACTCACTGAGTTCACTCAATCGACTCTATGAGTTCACCCAGCCGACTCACTGAGCTCGGCGCTTGCCCAGTCGACTCACTGAGCTCGCCCAGCCGACTCACTGAACTCACCCAGCCAACTCACTGAGTTCACTCAATCGACTCACTGAGTTCACCCAGCCGACTCACTGAGTTCACCCAGCGGACTCACTGAGATCACCCAGCGGACTCACTGAACTCACCCAGCCAACTCACCGCTCCCCTCCCCACCGGATGTTTGATCAGACCGTGGGTTTCGCGCCCGGTGTTAGCGACCGTCTGCCGAATTCCACTGCTCGCTATCAGCACAGCCCCGCCCCTCCCCGGGATGTAAATACGCACGGCAGGTGCTGCCACCGGCCGCAGGTGGCAACGGTAGCCCGCTGCTCCCAGCTGGGTATCGTGATCGTTTGTGTAGCATTGTCGTTCGATTAACTGAGGGTGGGTTTGCTTTATTGACTCATTGTTTTGTAAAAGAATTGTGACAATTTTTACTTTTTTGTTAAGCGTTTGTATAAAAAACATCCATATGAGCGATGAAGAGCGGCATGCTCACTTTTGCGTACTTCCTTAAAACGAAACCTTTTTATATAAATGTTTCCTATAATTTTACGAAACATTAGCGCGAGTATTTTACAAAAGTTTCATCCATGCAGTTATCATCCATGCAGTGATCCATGCAGTTATCCATGCAGTTATATCGCGCCATCTTTTATCGTACCTTAAGGATGTACCCGTCTCAGACTGTCTGTGTCTTACCATCTCTTCCCGTTGTCTCCGGCAGTTTCGACGGTCCGGCGGGCACCAGCACGCCCTACCGTCACACCAACATTCAGAAGACGACCCAGACCAGCCGATACACGAGCTCGGGGCCGGGCGGGGAGCGTCAGCCGACGCCCGGTGACCAGCTGACCACCCTGGGCCTGACCGGACCGCGCCACTCACCGTCACCGAACCCGCTGGACGGCCTGGACCGCGGCCTGGTGCCCGAGCTCAGCGAGCCGCCGGTGGCCGGCACCACGCGCGTCACAAAGTACGAGTACCGCAGCTCGAACCGGCGCGACGTGAGCCCGCAGCCGGCGGTGGCCCCGGCGCCGGCTCCAACACGCACCCTGCCGCCGCCCGAGAGTGCGCGCACTACCATGGATAGGAGGGAGTACACGAGTGCTACCAGCACTCTGGACCGCGCGCCGCCTCCCGATACCACCGACAAGACCACCACGTATGTGTACAGCTCTGACCAGAACACCCTGCCGCCGGGCGTGCCGGCGCCGCCCGTCCCCGCCGGCTCCAACACGACCATCAACTACCACATCTACAACTACGGCACGCTGGGCCCGGACGGCCAGCCGGTGCTGCCGCCGGGCGTGGCGCCGCCGCCCGGCTCCGGCACCCTGCCGCGCCGCGAGGTGGTCACCAGCACCAACACCAGCACCAGCTCGCACCAGTACCGCGAGACCAGCCCGCCGGCGCCGCGCTCTCCGGCGCCCGGGCCCGACACCACCGTCAGCAACTCGTACGTGTTCGAGAAGCACACGCACAACACGGCGCCGCAGCGGCACCCGTCCGGGCCGAGCTCGCCGAGCGGCCCGTCCGGCCCCGGCGGACCCGGCGGACCCGGCGGACCCGGTGGACCCGGCGGACCCAACGTCCTCCACTCGACCACCACCACCACCAAACACTACACGATCGGGCCGGACGGGCGCGAGATCCCGGCACGGCCGGCCTCGCCGTACGACCAGCAGTATCCCAAGTTCCCAGTGGACGACGGCCCCGGGCCGCAGGGCCACCACACGCGCACCACCACCACCACCATCGAGCGTACCCAGACGCGCGGCTCGCCGTTCCCGGCGCGCAGTCCGTCTCCGTCGGCTCGCCGCCCGCAGCGCGACGACGGGCCGCGCGTGCCGTTCCCCGGCTCGCCGCGCCGACCCGTGGATGATATCGACACGCCGCGGCGAGTGGACGAGCTGATGGCTCAGATCCCCGACACCCCGCAGGTGAGCAGGCTGACGGAGTGTGGTAAAATAAAGAAGTGAGGGGTAAAGGGTATGGTCTTTAACATATGATTGATGTGTCATCGGCACCTGCTGCATTAGGCTCGGCAAAGAACACTATTTCTTATTTGCACCGCTGCCGATACAGTGCCGCCCCACTAACCCACCCCTCGCCGGCCGGCAGGATGGGACCTACCCGCGCGGCCCGGTGCGGCGCGAGCTCAACAACGGCCGCTCGTCCACCACCACCACCCACTTCACGGTGCACGAGACGGAGCCGCTGCTGGACACACAGACGCAGGTGACGCTGGACGCCAAGTCGGGCGCCGTGGTGCCGCAGGCGGCCTCCAAGCCGGTCTCCGGGCCGCCCATCTACTACCCGCCCGGCTCCACCGAGTTCAAACCCAAACCCGAGAGCGAGATGATGGTGAGTGGAGGACAGGGATAGGCCGGTAGCTACAGTGACAGGAGTGGCCAGTGGGGACTTGGGAGGCTGTAAAGAACTCACGGAAACAGTGGTCTTTGAATGTATTTGATACCTGGAGTAGCTGCGCCTTCGGGCCACTGAACTTGTTGCAATACCTACCTTATATTTGTTTATAAGAAGTCCTTGATTCGTGGAAATAAATCGCGTTCATCCTCATGCTAAGCTGGGCTCGTATTCCGTGACGAAGCTGGCATAATGTATGAAATAAAACAGCCCCAGCAATCGCCGGTGACCGTCTCCCTCCCTCTCTTTCCGTCAGTTCCAGTCGTACGAGTCTCGCGGCGGCGGAAAGTACGCCTCCGGCTACAAGGCGAAGGGCAAGTACAAGGCCAAGGCGGGCTCGAAGGAGACGCACGCCGAGGGCGGCGCCGTGATCCCCATCTGCCTGCCCCTCTGCTGTGGGGCCGCCTGTTCCGTCATGTAGCCTGTGACGCCGTCAGTGGTGAGGTGACTACAGCGGACTGTCGAGCCGCCGGATGGCGGGGAACTCAGTGACCCGTGACTCGTGATGAGCGCCCCAGTGCGGCCACGTGACTCTGTGTGTGCTGGTGCCGAGCGAGGGTGAGGCGGTGCGCAGGTTTAAACAACTAAAGCTTGTGTGAACGTGCTAACTCGCCGCGGCTCCGTGACGGCGCTCGGACGTTGGATGAGCTAGTGTGCTAGTCAGGCTGCGGACCGGCGACCGGCGCCCCCCGGCGGCCGGGCCGGGCGAGAGGAGGCGCGCGCTGCTTCTCCGTGACGCGCGGTGTTGAGTCGCATTTACTCGGTGTGTTGGTGTGGACGTGTCGCTCGCGTGTGTTTCTACTGCTGGTGTCTGTGGTGCGGAGTCTCCCCGGTCTCTCTCCGTCCCGTCCCCCCGTTACCCCCCCCCCCCGTCTCGTGCTAACACCACCCAACCGTCAGCCTCTACACTGCCTCTGCTTTGGACACGGCGCCGCCGCGTGCGCCCGGCGCTGCACTGAATGCCCGCCGCAGGTCCGTGAGTCCACTGAATGCTGGCCGTGCGACTCGCGACTGCACTGAGTGCCGGCCTGTGACCCGTAACTGCAATGATTGCCGGCCGTGTGACTCACTACTGTACTGAGTACCGGCCTGTGACCCGTGACGATACTGAATAATGGCCGCGTGACTCACGGCTGCATTGCACCCCGATGAAATGAGTCGTAGCTGTACTGAAAGCCGGTGGTGTGACTTGTGCTTGCGCTGAATGCCGGCCATTTGACCTATGTTTGCGCTGGAAGCTGGCATGTGACTCACAGCTGTGCTGAATGCCGGTCGTGCGACCCGCGACCGCACTGAATGCCGGCCGCGTGACCCGTGACTGTATTATACTGTGCCGATTGGCTGCGTGCCGCCGCCCTGGGCGATATTTCTTGGCCCACTCGCAGCTGCGTGTGATATGTGCGTGTGATTTGTGCGCTGACCGGGCCCTCCGCCGGCCTCCCGCGCGGAGCCGGTCGGAGGGCGGGGTCAGGGGTCAGCGTGGATGACCGGCGGGGTCAGAGGTCGGCCTGGATAACCGGCCGGCCGGCCCGACCGTGGCCGTCAGTGTCAGTGGTTGTTTTTAACACGGCGGAGAGAACTAACGGCGACGCATCGGTGTTAGCCAGCGGACAATACATTTACCAGTAACAGTAGACAACTGTTTTACTTTCACCTGCGTCCAGCTAGCACCCTTTGGGGCAAATCTGGGCGCACCAACTACATGCAAACCAAATTCGATCATTAGAATGACTGGACTCACTTTAAGATCGATAGCCCTTACGCAAAACGCTTCATATTACAAAGACATTTATTCACAAGTTTGTTTCAACAATTGAGCAAAGAAAATGACAAAAATGTGAAAAACAAGAGACTCGCGGAATCACCCGTCATTGATCCATGCTGCGCGGCGTGTCTGGCGGGTGGCCGCACCGGTCGGTGGCACGGTTACCTGCCGAAATGAGCGTCAGTTAGTGTGTGTCAGCGGCCGCCGGCGCCGGACCCACCGGTCGCGCCCGGCCGTGTTGAGCGGGTGCGTCGTCGCGGACCGCCGGCGGCCGCCTGTCAGTCCGTCACGAACGCGTGCGGGTTCAGTTTGCGCACCCGGCCGCGACTGCTGACGCTGATTCGGGGCGCGCCCTCGGCCGCCTCGTCCTCGGCCGAGACGAACGAGCGCCGGCGCGGCTCCGGCGGCCGGCCGCCCCAGCCGGCGTCGGCGTGCGCCAGGCGGCGCGCCAGCCGCGCGCTGCGCGCCTCGTCCGAATCCTCGTCTTCGTCGGAGAGCGCCAGCAGGGCATGGGCGCGCGCCGCCGCCGAGCGGCTTGACTTCTGCCGGCCGCCGGAGGTGCCGTTCGTGTGCCCGTGCGCGCCGCCCGTCTCGTCGTCGTCCGAGGCGACGAGCCGGGCCGGCCGGCGGGGGACGCGCCGTCCCGCGCGGCTGGCCGCCGGCGCCGGCGCCTCCTCTTCGCTCTCCTCGGGAGATGAGTGTCGCCGCCGCCGGCGCGGGTCGCGCGCCTTGGGCGGCGGTGGAGTGGGCTCGTCCGACTCATCGTCACTCTCTGGCAGCCGCAGCCGTTTGGTTCGCGCCGGCGGCGGCGCGGCCTCTTCTTCTTCCGACTCCTCGCTGATGGCCGGCGCGTGCTTCCGCTTGGCAGACGGCCGGGGCGGCGGGGGCGATGAAGGGGGTGGTGGTTCCTCCTCTTCTGACTCCTCGCTGACGGCTGGCGCGCGCCGCCGCTTGGCAGACGGCCGAGGCGGAGGTGGCAGGGACGGGGGCAGCTCTTCGTCTCCTTCAGACTCCTCGGTGACGGCCGGCGCTCGCCGCCGCTTGGCAGACGGTCGGGACGGGCCCACTGCGTCCGAGTCTTCGTCATCGTCATCGTCGTCTGCCGCCCGCCGCCGCTTGGGAGCCTTTTTGGACGCCGTGCGGCTGCGAGTGCGTGATTTTGGCGGCGACGGCTGGAAATCATCGTCGTCATCATCATCATCGTCGCCGGAGATCTGGCGCCAGGCGCGCGCGGTCTGCGGCCGGGCGCGTCCGGTGCGGCGCGGCTGGCGCGCCGGCGGGCTGTCCCTCCTCTCGCGCACTTCCCAGTCACTGTCGTGGTCGTATTTGGTGGTCCGGCTCGGCCGGAGGCGCGGCGACTCGGTCTCACTCTCCTCGTCCTCATCCTCATCGACCGCCTCCTCCTCCTCCTCCGCGTCCTCCTGGCTGCTGGAGCTGGAGCTGGAGGAGCTGGAGCCGCTGGAGCTGCCGCCGTCCTCCGCGCCCTCTCCTCCCGCGCCGTCCTCTGGTTCCTCCTGCTCGGCCGCCGCCGCCGCCGCCGCCATGGCACGCCGCTGCGCCGGGCCCGTGCGGACCGGGTGCAGCCGCGGCGGCGGCGGCCCCAGCGGCGCCGCCAGTCGACCCCGGCGGGCCAGCCGCGTCACAGACGAGTCGCTGTCCTCTGCGTACGAGACGGGCACGCGGCCCCGCAGCCGGCCAGAGGCGGGCTGTGCCGGCGGACGGAAGGGCCTGCTGCGGGCCAGCCGCGGAGGGAGCTCCTCCTCCTCTTCAGACTCTTCGTCAGAGGAGTGGGCGAACCCGTTCACCGGCCGGCCGCTCTGCTCCGGGGGACGGCTTCGCGAGGGACCTGAGGCGAAAACGACAAAATCAGGTCGTCAAGAACCCAGTACTGTGGAACACTTAACAATGACTCAAACCCATATGATTCACCTGCCCCTAAACCCGAGTCAGATAAGAGAGACACAAACCCTCCCCAATTCCCCTCCGTCTCTGTCCGCCGGCTACTGCCCAGCCCAGAAATTGTCCACCCCACCCGGTCACAGGCACCCACCGGGCTGTCGGCTGGAGGAGGGCTGCGGGTCCGAGTCGCTGTGCCGCCTCCGACTGGAGCGGGTCGGCCGCTGGCCGGTCACAAAGTACGTGAGGATCGGCCGCATCTGCTCCTCGAAGTAGCACGACAGCCGCAGCGTCATGGCAAATATCTGTGAATGAAGGGCAAGGGGTGAAAGACACGTCACACGGGAGACAGAATTGAGATTGAAACGGCATTGGGGTTGAGCGGTGGTGAGGAGGCTCCGGTTTGCCAAAAATAATTATGTTATGGACAAAAAGCTCGGCGAACGTTTGGTTTAAAGAACATGAAATCTTAACTTAAAATTTTAATTAAAAATTTTGCCAACATTCGGAACATTTTTAAATAAATCTTCACCGAGTAACAGACAAAGACAAAGGCCTCTTTTAGATGTACAGGGTGTCCCAAAAATGTATCTCATTTGAAATTAAGATATATCAGTGTCTCAGCATACAATGATGCTAAATTTGGTACCATATGAAAGCTCATTCTATGACATTTTGTTTGATGTCAACTACTTTAATGCACGTTACGTGACAGCCGTGTACTGGATGACAGTTGCGTGTACTGGATGAAATTATTAAAAAACGGAGCGATGATCCGTGCCCTACCGTGGATCGTTTGTTGGTGTTGTACGTCTTGGAGTTGTGGAAGATGAGTCTGATGTCGTCGGCGAACTCCTGCGGCGAGACGTAGGAGCCGGCCTCGAGTTCCTCTCTGACAGAGCTCAGGTCCATCGGACTCTCCACCAGCTGCCGGGGGGTGAACGGAAGCGGTCAGGGTCGGATCACGTCCGTGACAACCGCAGCCCAGTGGTACGCGTCAGTGGAGGGCTTCAACTCTACGTGAACTGTTATCAGTTAGGCGTTGATCGAGAAAAGCTGACAAATGTACTTCATTCTCATCCCCATAGCGAGGTAATACCAGAGGTGCCATAACACAGCTGCCAAGAATTACCAGCGCCATATCAAACTCGTCCACAACCAATCACCGACGCTACAGGAGCTAAGCCCCCCGTATACCACAAATATGCACACGGCCGTCGTGCGACCACTGCGCTGGTCAATGGACTGGCCCACAGACAAGCTGGGGGATTTAGGTACTGACGTTCAGGTAGTCGGGGTAGTCGTCCAGGTTGACCGGCTCGCGGAAGTGTTCAGAGTCCTCGTGTCGCACCAGGTTGTCCAGCAGCTCTGCGCACAGCTCCTGCCACGTCTTGTCGGCGAACCGGCGCCGCGCGATCTGAGGGGCAGACGGTCATTCATGGGACGGCCCGAAATAAGGAGAGGGAGGCGGCAGCGAGGGGAGAGGGGTGGCGGACCGGACTGATGACTAGCGCAAGTAGCTGGGCTACGCTCAAATTGGCTCAAAACACAGGAACAGTGAATTATAACAAGTTATGCATTAACGTTTAACATCATGGCTAAAGCAGTTGCGTCACAGTTCATAAGCACCTAAACGTCCAATAAACACTTAGTGAACCCCAATTTAACCAGTGGTCAAACCAGTTGATAGATAATACTCAGACCAAAACTATTGAATTCCACTGACCCACCAGCTGCACCGCCACCTCGTTCCCCCGCACATACCTGTCGTGTGACGCGCGGTGAGCGCTGCGACCCGCGCCGGCCGCTGCCGGTGCCCGCTCCGGCCGGCCCGGCGCGCTGACCGCCGCCGCGCCGGTCCCTCTCGCGTCCGCCGCCGCTGTTGTAGGCGGCCGCGTGTCGCCGGTACAGCGGCGCCGGGTCGTGGCACGTGCTGTCGCCGATCATCTCCAGACACACGTCGGTGATGATGCGCGCAGAGCGGACGATGGTCGAGTGCGGCTGGTTGAACTTTTCCGTGTTGGAGGCCAGGTAGCGCACGTCGAACTGGACGGCCGTGATGCGACGGTAGAAACCGTTCTCCAGACGAGCCTGTAAGATGGAAGATTGGGTATGAGATATGACAAAAAAGGTCACGTGAGGGAGATTTAACGAGAGACTGTGCAAATTAACCGCAGGCCGCGAATTGTAAAAAAAAAAGAACAACAATAACAACAAGCGCCTGACGGCCCTTACCAGAAAGCAGCAATTGCATGTTAATTACCATGCGAGGAACGAGAAAGTATTACTTTAGCAGTTAACCAGCAATATAAATGACTTCCGGCAAGTTAACGATAAGCATGTAAAACTGAATCAACAGTAAAACTCAGAGGTAATTTGCACTGATCCACAAGCAACCTCTAGCAAGTTTCTTCCCCGCTGACCACCCGGACGCACCTTGATAGTCGATAAGTCGATGGGGTACTCCACGATCTGGGCGTACGTCGGGTACCGGTTGAGGTCCACCGGCGCCAGGAAAGGCTCGGCAATCGCCAGCTGCATCACAACCTCCAGACAGCGCCGGATGCGGTCCATCTGCGCCTCGGGGCTGTCGTTGGCCCAGTCCTCGGGGCGCTGTCGCCAGCCGGGCAGGCCGGCGCCGCGCAGCTCCTCGTCCGTCAGCGGCACGGACGTCTGGCTGGCCTCGTCATCGGACGGCCAGCCGGCCCCCAGCGGCTCCATGTCCCACGGACTGAGCGGCTCCGACTCGCCCGTGTCCCAGGCCACCCGGTAGCAGAGGAACGGCGACTCGGGCGACTCCGGGTCCAGCGGCCGCCGCTCCAGTACTCGGCCCGTCCACCACGCGTCGTCGATCGTCGAGCGGAACCGGTCGTCTGGCCGGCGGAACGGAGGGGCGGTGTCAAAGATGGGGTGGTGCATTGCCTTACAGCATTGCACTAATATTGGGAACCACTGACGCACCCACCATGCAAATGAAATGACAACATCACATGGACATTGCTGGTCAAATTGGGAAGCATGAGGAATGAAACAGAGTACAACATTTAGATAAGCTCTGCCCAAGACCTCGCACTCCATACCTCAGCTGCTCAGCACCACTATCAACCTTTAGCTACTTTCATTTTAAGTCATTCCGTTACTTCCATGAAACCTGGGCCGCCCTGGCTTGACCTCTCTCCCTCTGACTGTGCCTCCCTCTGTCTCACCGAACTGCCAGTCGCGGCTTATGGCCGTCTCACCTCCCTCCCTTCCACCGTCCTGTCTCACCTCCCCCTCCCTCCCTCCTCCCCTCTCACTGGGCTGCCAGTCTAACGGCCATCTCAGCCCCCTCCCCCTGTCTCACCGGGCTGCCAGTCGCGGCTCATGGCCGTCTCATACGTCGGCCGTAGCACCAGGAAGTCTACCACGTCCGGCATGTCGTGGTACTTGATGGTGAAGCTGCCGCCGCTCACGGCGCCCGTCTCCGGGTCCAGGCGACCCAGCTTCAGACAGCACAGGCACGGCGGCCGCAGCTCGTACTTGATGCCGATTATCCGCACCAGCTCACGGTCCTGGACGGATGGGGAGGGAGATCGCGGGTCAGCGCACAGCGAGCAGAGGCTACCGAACCGACCACCACATTGAGACAACTCGGGCTCAATGATCGTTGCTCAATGTTGAAACTGGCAACTGAAAAAGGGCAAAAGAACACAACAAAAAATTTCAGAAACACTGCTCTATTTCGTGAGCTTTGAGCGTTGTATGCAAACTCTGACTAAACTGAAATGACTGTACGTTGCAGCCTGGCTTCTGTCGGCGACAGCCACAACAGGTAGCTCCGAGCCTCATTCCCCGCAGTATTTATTTGACCCAGGGCAGAATATTCTGCGACCCTCACGTCAGAGTGAGGACTCCTCTAAGACTTTTTCTACTCAGTCGCACTGTTAAACCCAGGCCCACACCCACAGCTCTGCGACCCACACCCACAGGACAGGATCGGTGTTCTGATGGCCCCCACTCACCCGAAGGACCTGTTTGAGCCAGGGCAGTTTCTGTGACTCTGGCCCACAGTGTCTAAGGTTCAGTGTTCTAATGGCCCTAACTCACCCGAAGGACCTGTTTGACCCAAGGCAGGTTCTGTGGCCTTATGTCGTAGATCTTTCGCCGCTTGACCGCCTCCACGTACAGCTGGTGGCCTTGACGGAAGTAGATAAGCTGCAATAGAGGCAGCGAGTCAGTCAGCTGTAATGGGGATCCTTGTGACATGGATCGTAGTCACAGACAAAGGTGGAACGGCCCATAATAGGTTAAAGAGACGATACGGCAGACAACCGGGCGGTGGAGGTGTTAATACAACGGAGAGCGCAAACACGCTTACATAGACGATACAGACGTATTTAACTTAGAGCTAAAACACCCTGTTTAAATACTGAAATGGGTTCAACACCATTCTACGGTAGCAGCGTGTCTCACCTCGTCCCCCATCTGTGGGAAGTAGGGCGTCTTTCTGGGCAGCACCTCGGACAGCCAGGCGGACGGGGCCAGCGTGTCGACCAGCTGCTGCTGGGCGCTGGAGGTGACCGCCGCCGGCGCAGGGTCGGAGGCCGCCGACTCACCGCTACCACCGGCAGTCGTCTGAGGGGGGATGGCAGCAGTCAGAGAGGAGAAGACAGCCGTCTGAGAGGGGACGGCAGCAGTGAGAGAGGAGAAGGCAGCCGTCTGAGAGGGGATGGCAACAGTCTGAGGGAGGACGGCAGCAGTCAGAGAGGAGAAGGCAGTCGTAGTCAGAGAGGAGAAGGCAGTTGTCTGAGAGGGAACGGCAGCAGTCAGAGAGGAGAAGGCAGTCAGTCTGACAGGGACGGCAGCAGACAGAGAGGAGACGACATCAGACAGAGAGGACGGCAGTTAGTCAGACGGGGACGGCAGTCAGTCTGACAGGGACGGCAGTCAGACGCAACACCCCACAACCACAGCGGGTGTATAAAGAGCTCAGCAGTGCGATTAAAGCTTGCTGGATCCTACGTTTTCTCTAACTTAATGTTCTCTGAATACTACCCGACATTGCTCGACTTTATCGGTAGCATAAAGAAACGCATTTTAACAAACAGAAACTAAAAAGTGGAAATAAAAGAGCTAGATCATAGTCTACGAGGAAACGGAAGAATCAGCTGTAGCACGCAGGGCATGACGTGGTCAGCCGTTACTGACCCGTTTTCTGGCGGCTCGGGACGGCCGCTGGCGCTTGGAGCTGGTGCCGGCGCGGGCGGCTGACTCCGGCGACCCCACAGCCTCCTCCTCCTCGGCGGGGGCCGGCGGCGGCGGGGAGGCCCGCCGGGGCCGGGACTGGGTGCCCGACGGGCCGGGGCGCGGCTCCGGGTCCGGCTCGGACGCGCCGCTGCGCATCCGGCGCCGCAGCGCCCGCTGCCGAGCTGTGAGCTGCGCGGGGGAGAGCGGAGGTCACATACAGTTCACCCGCCGGGACAGTCAGAGCCGTGTCACCTGCCGGAGCGGTCAGACACAGCGCAGCGCGCCACAAAGCTCCCTCTATATCCACACACGTCTCCGCAAAGCGAACATTACAAGCCGCGTCGTGTGGAGAGCTCAGGGCTCAACATTCACAGGCGTATCTGCTGAAGAAAGTCCCGAGCCCAGCCGCTGATCCTGGACTCCCCTGTGCCTGTGGTCCCGTCAGAGAGCGACCGGCACGTTTGGGCTGTCGTTACTGACCTATTAGCCCACAGCTATAGACCTGTATGGGTTGCCGTTACAAACCCGTGTGGGCTGTGTTATTGATTGTTACTGACCCGTTTGGGCTGTCGCTGCGGCGGGTTCAGGCTGACTCCCGATTCCGCCACCCAGTCCGAGTACTCGCTCGACTCGCTGGCCCCGGATCGGCGAGTCGACGCGTCCACCTCCTCCTCTTCGGAGTCGGAGTCGGAGTCTGAGCCGGAAGACGAGCCGGAGGGGGAGCCCAGCTCCGACAGGTTGTCCGGGTTCTGGGGGGAGGGGGTCAGGTGGAAGTCAGCACACAGGTACAGCTCCGACAGGTTGTCCGGGTTCTGGGGGAGAGGGAGAAGTTCGGGTGAAGTCAGGAGTTCGGGTGAAGTCAGGGGCCAGGAGTTCGGGTGAAGTCAGGGGCCAGGAGTTCGGGTGAAGTCAGGAGTTCGGGTGAAGTCAGGAGTTCGGGTGAAGTCAGGGGCCAGGAGTTCGGGTGAAGTCCGGGGTTGTCCGGGTTCTGGGGGAGGGGGAGGAGTTCGGGTGAAATCAGGAGTTCGGGTGAAGTCAGGGGCCAGGAGTTCGTGTGAAGTCAGGAGTTCGGGTGAAGTCAAGAGTTCGGGTGAAGTCAGGAGTTCGGGTGAAGTCAGGAGTTCGGGTGAAGTCAGGGGTCAGGAGTTCGGGTGAAGTCAGGGGCTGTCCGGGTTCTGGGGGAGGGGGAGGAGTTCAGGTGAAGTCAGGAGTTCGGGTGAAGTCAGGAGTTCGGGTGAAGTCAGGGGTTGTCCGGGTTCTGGGGGAGGGGGAGGAGTTCGGGTGAACGTAAGTTTCTGGACCTTTTTGTGATTATAAGCGTGCCAACGTGTGAAATGATGCCCGTACCATGCATTGTATGTATGTATGTATGTATTACATCAACAGACACTCCACACATGGTTGTGGCTATTCTGTGCCTTAAGTAAGATAGATAAAACAAAGTGTCAATGAGGTGGGAGGGATGTCACGCAACATGTACACAGCATACATACACGCACACACCGCTCATGCACACACGGTCGTAAAAGCTACTGCAGTACCAGCGACTTGGCAGCGCGCTTAAAAGCAGACGGGCCCAGAGCTCGGGTCTCGATTGGTAGGCGGTTGAGAAGCGTCACAGCTCGGTAAATAAAAGATCGCTGTCCGGTCACGGTTCGGAAAGCCGGCGGCCGAAGACGCCCGTCCTGTCTAGTTGGCCGGTCACAATTGCGCGCGTCGGAAAAGCACTGGAAGAGTGAGGCCAGTTCGGACGGCTCTCCACTGACAAGTATCTTGTGAGCTGCAGTCAAGGTATACAAATCATGCATTTGCCGCGGCACCATAAAACACAACTGATTTCGCGCTCGAGAGATGTGATCAGATTTCCTAAGACCGGTCACTACACGCGCTGCAAAATTGACAACCTTGAGCATCCGAGCATCGTTCGCCGCGGATCCGTTCCCGTAAACTGTGATGCAGTAAGATACTCGCGAAAGCACCAAACTCTGAACTATTGAGAGCGAGTGGCGAGTGTTGTGCCAAGGTCACGTGACGGTCAGTAACACGCTAGTAAGCAGGACACCGATTCATAGCGATAGGTACCCGCACGCTGCTCACGTCATTTCGGTCTACTCTTTCGCTCGTATAGAAAATAACAGAGACCAAAATATGTCATTGTTGCTGGTAGCGTAGGAGCTGCACATTTATTGGGCATAAAGATCAAACGCAACACAGCACGTATGGCAGCATTGATGAAGCATTCACGTCATGTCGTGTGATGCACAACGCGTGCAAAAAATGCTGATTGACATTTGCAATTTTTTCGATTGTAGGTACGGCCCTCCAGCAAAAGAGTGGTTGGTTAGCCTATGTTTTTGGTGCAATAGCTTTGAATGACAGAGACACTCCTGTAAAATGACTCAATAGAAATGAGAAGAGGGTTCGTGCACACACTTCGTCAATGGTTTTCAACAGCCATTAGACGTATTCATCAATGCAGATCGATTATTGTGATGATGGCAACCAACCACTTAATACCTGGAGGGCCGTACGTATCGAAAGAATCTTGCATACGGCAGCAACGGGGAACGCAATAATTTTTAACGTCTGCAGAGGCCAGTCTTACCAACAGAAAAATAGACGCCTGCTGGAAAGTTTTGCCTGAAGACATTTCACACACGGAGCGGAAGCGCGATGGGCACGTATGTAATCGGATAGGGTTTTGCCATTTACGCTTCGTATGTGAAGTGGCCTTTAGGCAGACATTTCCGGCAGGCGGCTATTTTTCTTATGGTAAAACTGGCCTCCGAACTATTTATTGTTACGAATGTCTAAAGTTCTGTACAAGATTTGACTAGAAAACAAGACCTTACATTTTAATTTAATGTATTTCAATGGATATGGATCGACATGAGGAGATGCACGACCAGGATCACAGCGTCTCCGGATGGTCCACAAAGTCCGTGGGCGCAGCGGGTAGGCCGGTCGGGACCGGGAACAGCCGGGAAGATCGCGTACCCACTGCGGGGGGGGGGGGGTCAGACAGACGCGAGCCCACCTGAGACGGTGAGACGGCGCGCAGCGAGAAGAGAAATTATAAATGGTGCAAATTCAGAAGCATCACCAGCTGGCCAGATATTCAGTTATCGGCTTTCATGTATTATGTGACAGTCTGTCCCTCGCAAATAGCAAGACCAATATCACTGGTAAGTTAATCATACAGGCAACATTAACCCGCGCCCCGTTGGGCTCTGCCGAGCAACGCGCCCCGTTGGGGGGGGGGGGGGGCACTTTGCCCCCCCCCCCTAAGATCTCGAGAACCACGCAACCTAGCGACAAGCGGCAAACGGTGTTGGATAGCCCTATCAGGGAACTACCTTGTGACCCAATTTTATTGACCTAGGTCAAACCGATGACGTCACAGGTCAGGTCAAAGGTCCAATTTTCACCGTTTACAGGCATTTCAAGAAATGCGTTGTAAATCGAGTAAAATGCATTTCATTAAAAATCATCGATGATGGGGAAATGTTCTTCAAACACTATTTTGCTATTTGAGGTCACTGATACCAGGTCAGGTCACAGAGGTCAGGTCACTGGGGGGTCAAAATATGAAAGTGTCGTGTGATACATGTTTTATGGTCCATTTTACATGACAAATGCGATTATGTGGGTCAGGCAGCCTTTCAGGCCAGCTTAGGTCACGTTTTGGTCAAGGTCAGGTCAAGGTCAGGTCAAATTAGGTCAAATTTCAAAGTTGATATTTTTTCATAAAATGGGTATCGAATCGATGCAGCTCGTCACGGGGAGTTCAATGGTGGTCTTTGTTTTGCCGTACGTGGTCTAGAATCGCTAAAAATTGAGTTCAAAAATTTGACGTCATCATTTTTGAACAGTTTTTTTTCGCTATAACTTGGCCCAAAAACGAGATATCGATCTGAAATTTGGTATGTATATAGAAGAGCTCAGGGACTATCACATATATTCCGGTTTTTACGAAATTCGGATTTGTTTTTGATTTTTTAAAGTTTTTATAAAAAAATCAATTTTTTGAATTTTTGAGGGTCAAAAACACAAAATTTTGAAAATCCGAGATAGCAGTTTTGTAGCGCCGCTTTTTGTCTACCAGACCATATAAAGAGCTTTGAAATTGCTTGATAACTGTAGATTTGGTGAGCGTTTCAAGATTGCATGTTTTTTGCTCATTTTTGCTCGAACATGACCTCAGTTTGACCTCAATAACTCCTGACCTAAGGTGACCTAAGACTTGAAATTTGGTGTGAAGGTGTCAAATTGATGCCCGGGAAGGTACTGAAAATTTGGCGGCGCTGCGCGCCGCCGTTTTCTTGCTATTCAGGAAAAACCACAGGGGGGGGGGCAAAATGGCCCCCCCAACGGGGCGAGGGTTAATAATCATTAATACCATTAGACACATTCGGCGAGATTAGCGTAAATAAAAATAATACATTCCAAATACGCTTGCGGTAACTCCGGCCAGTGCTGCCAAATCCTATTCACGGTATTTGGTAAGATTGGGCCTAGTGCAGGCTCTCCCTGGAGCTGCGGGCCGCCTGGGAGGTGCAGCTGCTCTCCGGCGCTGACGTACTACCTGGTCACTGGAACTCGGCGTGCTCCATTGGCTGGAGGAGGTAGCTGCCTCCAGTGCTTGGGCTTCCCGCGCAGCACTCTCAAACGACTCAGCGATGGCGAGGCACTTCTCCAGCGTCAGGTCTGGCTCCATGAGCAGCCTTCGACGGAGTCGTGTGGAGGCTGTGCGCTCCACCACCTGGTCCCGCACGAGCTCGTCTGTGGGGTCCCGGTACTCGCAGGTAGCAGCGAGCTGTCTCAGTGCCGAGACCCACTGGGCTGTGGTCTCGCCGGACAATTGGCCCCTGCTCCGGAACCTATACCTCTCGCTGACCACGGTTCGTTTGGGCTCGAAGAACGCGCCCAGCCGGCCGATGGCGAACTGAAGGTCGTCTTCGTTGTCACCTTTCACGGCCGGGGGAAGGTTCTGGTACACTCGCTGACCTTCCGTCCCCAGGCAGGTGAGGAGCGTGGCCTGCTGGCGGGCTGGGGAGAAAGCCTCGCCCCCTGCAGCTGTCAAGAAATTCTGGAACATGGGCAGCCAGCTCGCCCACGGAATCGCTGGCTCTCCCGCCGACGGAAGAAAAGGCGCAGGGGCCATGCTGAACACTCCTTCCATGGTGAAAACCACGAAAGTTCGGAAATCTCGTCGCCACTGTTGTGTTCTCTCTGTCACTGGAAAGACTTGCTGAAACGTCTTCAGCCTTCCTCCATCCGCATTGTCACGTCTCGCGAACACTTTTACATCTCTCCTATCTATCCCAATCACTCCGCAATGGCCAGAGTATATACTATAGAACATTGGGTACACAAACGACGGGGAAAACGCCCACTTTATTTGGGCGCTTGATCTCGGCGGCGTTTCACGGACGCTGCTACCACGCTACTCGTAGGTACTAGCGTATTTCGCGAGCTGACGTCACAGGTAATGGTCAAGTCGCTCAATAATTGAAGCGTTCGAGTTTGTTGGTGTCTCGACTCCATGGAAACGAATTTGCCACGTGTCACTGGCAGCGTGCTAGCAGCGGCCGTGCACGGTGCAACACCGTCCTGGATGAATTACCAGGTAGGTTCTAGGTATATTTTTGTATATGTAAAAATATGACATTGCATTGTGACGAGTTCTGCCAATTCCATACATTAGTTATTTTCTATAGCAATAGAAAATGCAAGGTCCCGTTTCAAGGCACCACGCTACAGCGCGCTAGGCGTATCGGTGTATTGAGTTCCCTGGAAACTTCAGAAGATTCGGACGCTCGCAACGCTGCAGCGTCCGAGTTTGTTGGGGCCAATTCGTCTCAAACGCCGCACCAATACCGTAACGTAGCGTAGCGCAATATAGCGTCGTGCCGTGAAACAGGGCCCAGGAAAAACACGCATGCCTTGGTGCGCCACATTGAGTAGCAAAACAGTCGGAATCACGAAAATCCGTCATGCCATTCTGCGGCAGAATATTTTGCCGTGACGTCATACGTTGGAATCTCCGCCCCTTGCTTCTTCTTCTTTTGCACGTCACGCAGAGGCCACGTAGTGGGTGCGCTGCGGGAGCGCGTCGACTGGGGGGTCGGTGCGCCCCACTCTGCGCAGTCGTCTCCCGCTGCAGCTCCAGTGTCAGCAGCGCGTCCCACGTCAGCGGTGAGCACCCGGGACGCAGCTGAGAGACTGTGACCGACCCCCAGCCAGTCAGCTCGGCGTGCCCGTCGTAGCCCCGGCCAACGCGCCCCCAACAGAGAAACTCCGCCCCGTGCCCCTCCCACTGATGCCTACCGCGCATAATACGTTATGAAATAGAATACAATTCCATAATATTTCGCGGTGAAACAGGCCCAGGCTTAATTTTGGTGGACGTCATTTTGAATGTGCTGTTGCGGTGCGGTACTACATACGCCCACTTTGGTGTGGGGCAAAGCGCCCATCATGGGCGTTTTACCCAGCAATGCATCACAGGTAATTGTGAGCATTGTTGACCCAAAGTGAGTGGCGGGATACGTCTCTTATGCTTAGGATTCGGTGAAATCGCTGCTTTGCACCCCGGGATCAAAAGCAAATAAAACCATACCACATTGTCATAACTCAGAAACAAGTTATCGATCTAGAAAATGTCGATACAGACATACAGTCACTTACACCGGGAAATAATGGCACACTATAACTAGCATAAGTAAAAAAAAAAAAAAAAACGCGGACAGCAAAAAAATTCCTTTTAAATTTTATAAATAAAAAATCCACCCACGCACCCAGAGACCCCGGTTCTCCACAGGTCCCCATGTTCGATGGGTAAGCAAAAGGATAACTACTTTTGTGTCGTAAATTATTCAACAGCTGAGCACGCAGAAGCGTAAACAACGTGCGATAAACCGAGAGGCGTGGCAGGGTGGGTGGTTAAGTGTAACTTGAAAATGTTTTCTGTAAAATTATCATAAGTATCGATGTGTGGTCTCACTTTTCAAGCTAACAAAGATGTGTTCTTTTCTTTCATGATTTTATTTTGTGAATTTCTCGGTTTTCAGAAGGTGCAAAAAGAAGATGTCGCCCAGGGCTCTTACTAAGTATGCAATATACTGGTTAGTATCGTCTGGAACGATTTATTCGCAAGAACTGAGGCCAGTTTTACCAACAGAAAAATAGCCGCTTGCCGGAATTTTTTGCCTAAAGACCGTTTCACATACGAAGCGTAAACGCGATGGGCACGTAAGCGAATAGGGCTTTACCGTCTACGTGGCCTTTAGTACGTGAAGTGGCCTTTAGTAAAAAAAAATCCGGCAGACGGCTATTTTTCTGTTGGTAAAACTGGCCTCTGATCTCCACTCTCCAAGGCAGTGACGGGCGTTGACTGAATGGGGTGACGACAACCAGTGTTTAACCTTCGCAGGCCGAGGGTGCCCCCATGTTTTTTTTTTCGCGATAGCTCAGAATACGCCGGCGACAGAGAGCTGAAACTTGGCATACCTGACTTTTGATTCAAGCCGGATCTTACATGACACGAACAACATTTTCATGTCAGGTCAGGTCACTGACCTACGACGTCATAAGTGAACCTCCGCACGGTCCTAAAATGTCGCAAGCTCTCAGCGCCCTCAGACCGTGCCAGAGAAGCTTTCGCAAGGAGATGAAACTTCCAGGACCTAGAAACCTCCTGTTATTCGAAGAAATCGTATGTAATGAGCTACAAGATCAGCTACTTAGTTGTCCTTAAACTTCGTAAGATAGAAAGGTGCTGAGGGTCGAAGGGTGGTCGCTTTGCTCCACATCCTAGGCATTCGTTTATGGGCGTTCAAAAAGCAATTCATCCATTGGCACCCCTCACCGAAAATAAGACCGCCCAGTTCCAAGACGAACCAAATTATGTCTTTTACAACATATGTTCATAACACCACTGACACATCACAGTCAAGTTTCCCGCAGATAAAAGCACGCCAAGCGCCAAACCCAGTCCCGCACATACCTCGAAGTCTTCGTTGAAGGGCGCGCGCACGGCGCGGGCGGCCCGGGTGACCCTCTGCTCTCGCTCCTGGCGCTCCTGCCGTCGCTCCTGCTCCTGCTCCAGCTGGGCCGGCTCCTGCGGCCCGTCCGGCTGGCTGGGCTGGCGGCGCCGGCGCAGCAGCCGCTGCCGCCGCCGCTCGCGCGTCGTCAACCGCCGCTGGGTGGGCGACGGCGGCCGGCGCGGCCTGGCCATCTCGTCCTCAAAGTGTTTCTGTTCCAGCTCCGCCTCCAGGCTCCTGTCGGCCGAAACGTGACGACAGATCAGTCAATGGTGATCGAATGAGGCCTACTGTCATAATACAAGACACACTACATCTTGTGGCTACAAACCATGTTATCCGAAATATTTTGACGCCATACGACCCGTGTTCTTTAGACTGATCAGCATTGGACGATGGCCAGAGCTACACCACTCGGCAAATAGCACAGCCTCGCAGACCACTCGGCAATGTCTTTGCGCAAACCATTCGGCAATATCCTTCCCAGACGATCAGCTCCTATAATTACGTAATGCTAACCTGCACTCAATCTGTTAACTATAACGTACTGACCTGTACTCGATGTGTCGCTGCAGCTCCCTGGCAGACAGCCGCGGCGCCACCCGCCGGTGACGCCAGTCGCTGGCAGCTGCTGCCGGCCGCGGCGGGGCCGGTGCCGCCGGCTCCCCGGCTCCAGCCGCCTCCTCTGGGACAGGGGCGTCCGCCGCGGCCGGCGCGGCGCCGCCGTCCGCCGCCTCCTCAGCCTCCTCCGCTGAAACGGACGGAAGGGTCGTCAGATCAGCTGGACATGGAGCGTAGCTGGTTGAATATACTCGACATTTTGTATATTTACCACAGGGTCTGTCGCATAGCTTTGGAGCTGCCCCAGTCGTCAGTGCCGCACCTGTCTCTCGCATGGCCTGCTCGATGGCTAACCGCTCGATCATGTCGTCGATGGTGGGTCGCCTCTGTCGCACCTCGGGCCCCAGCTGCTCCACGTCTACCAGGTCGTCCTCCTCCACTGGAAAAGTCACGGAATGGCCACCACGTCATGGCACGTCTCAACACATAGAAAAGGGATCCAGCACTGTGGTCGCACTGGTCATATGCTGCTTTATGCCCTACCAGGTTAGGTTAGGTTAGGTTAGGTTTGACAGCATATTTTGGCATTCAGTCCCATTACAATTGACAGGCTGCAGCACGGACAGCTGCAGCTGCTGGTCCGTCCGTCCCTCTCTCACCTTACTTACTTAGACTTATTTCGTCGACTCCATCTAGTAGATGCAGGATCATTTCTGATCGTCTTCCAATTATGTTAGCTGCACCGTTTACGGGCTGCAGCACGGGCAGCAGCTGCTGGTCCGTCATGTAGCACCCCTTTTCCCCCTCACCGTTTACGGGCTGCAGCACGGGCAGCAGCTGCTGGTCCGTCATGTAGCACCCCTTTCCCCTTCTCACCGTTTACGGGCTGCAGCACGGGCAGCATGACGGACCAGCAGCTGCTGGTCCGTCATGTAGCACCCCTTTCCCCCTCTCACCGTTTACTGGCTGCAGCACGGGCAGCAGCTGCTGGTCCGTCATGTGGCCGCGGCCGGGCACCAGCCGCTGCGCCGCCGCCGACTGCGGGTTGCCGTCGCGATCGACGAGCAGCGGCGGCGGCAGCAGGTGGGGAGCCATCTGCGTCTGTTCGTCCAGCACCTGGTGCCGCGCGTCCCGCATCAGAGGGCGGTAGTCCGTGTGGAAGAACTGCTCGTACGGCACCTGAGGGAGAGACACGCAGAACAGGGGTTGGTGAGGGGCGGGCAATGCCATCAGCGGACGGTAGTCCCGTGTGGAAAAAACTGCTCGTACGGCACCTGAGGAAAGATCGCGGGGGAGTCAGTAAGGGGACGGATGATACCGTCAGCTAAATCAGAAGACGCCCCACGAATAGGTCACATTAAAATAAAAACAACGACCGAATACCGCGTCTGATATAAGATAGCTCACAGCTAACAACTCAACATCTACCAGAAATGTTACCAAAAGTCAATGGTGGCGCTAAAAATAGACCAGGCAAATGCGCAAGGAAACACTTCACAATCAGGTAAACGTTTGACCGATAGTGAGCCCGTGTCAGTGCCATAGCATCTAGTGAGCGCTCAGCAACTGAAAAAAACTGCCGAGTCGCTCCGACCAGCCCCCTGCCAGGTGACTGCGTCAGGTCTCACCCGAGTAAACTGGTCGTTGCCGCTGACACCAAAGTGCGACAGGTGTCCGTGTGAGTCGGTGGCGGCGATGAACAGGCCGCAGGGCGACCAGCGCGCGTCAAATAAGCCGCCGTGACCCTCGCCCTCGATCTGCCGAGTAGCAGAGAAATCAGGGGTCACAGGGGGTTCGGCTGCCCGCTGAGGCGCCGTGCAGTGACACTTGGTGTTGACGGTGACAAAGCAGCCTCAAGTAGCCATACAGCACACAGTTTGCATGCATAGCCGGATCGACCATGAATAGAGACTGAAATACCATTCGTGTGATACCATACATATGCATAATAGTTCAATCTTATCTCATCTCACGACAAGAGTCTAGTCCTATCTCATATCATCACATCTTACCCAGCTTCACCCCACATCCCTATCTCTCCCTCGGGTGCCACCCCACTCACATGGTTGAAGAAGGATGTTAGCGCGACGCCGGACCAGACATCCCAGATGAACAGGCGTCCGTCGTGTCCGGCGGTCAGCACCAGTCGCGGCTCCTTCGGATGGCTCTCGACCACAAACACCTCGTCTGTGTGACCGGCCAGCACGTGAAGAAGACGGCCAGTGGTCGCCTCCCACACTGGGGGCGGGACACAGAGTTAGAGTGACGGTCTGCAACCGGCCAGCACGTGCAGAAGACGGCCAGTGGTCGCCTCCCACACTGGGGGTGGGACACAGAGTTAGAGTGACGGTCTGCAACCGGCCAGCACGTGCAGAAGACGGCCAGTGGTCGCCTCCCACACTGAAAGGTAAAAACAGGGTACGGTACGTAACTACCCAGCACGTGCAGAAGACGGCCCGTGGTCTGGTCGCCTCCCACACTGTACAGAGGACACAGGTTACACCGTCGGCCCATAGACACGTCTTACCGTGGTGGCAGCACAAGGGGCTAGCTAGACTGACGGCCCCTGCACGGACACAATGGGTCGAACGGAAGGCTTACTGTTCGTCACGAAGCTCATGCATAACCGGCTCGTCTAGCATACGTGGCCGGTATTGCAAGAAAACATTTGAACAATCATCTGCTGACCAGATCCGTCCGCCTGCGTCGTGTCGGCTGGCGAGAGCCGTGCCTACCTCCGGGACAGGCGTAATTCCTACCTCTGAGACTGCTGTCTTTTCCTACCTCTGTTGAGTTTTATTCACGATCGATGGCAACACAAGTCAAATTCCTAAAACCAGACGTTTCGGCCACAGGGTGCCTTCGTCAGTGGACACTAGTGATTAATTAAATTAAAAACACATAGTATCAAAAACAATCGGTATAAATCGTTCGAAATCGACACATCGGGCACAGGTTTCGAAATGCAGAACAAGGCAGCTAATCTACCTCTGTTGTTGGTGCGGTGGTGCCCTGGCTTACCTCTGAAACTAGTGCAGTGGTGCACCTACCTCTGTCGTTGGTGCAGTGGTGCCCGGACCTACCTCTGAGACTGGTGTCACTGACGGTGGTGACGACATACGCGTCATCGGTGGTCCAGCGCACCATGTTGACGCGCAGTGGCCGCTGCCGGCCGTCATCGTGCGGCTCGCGGAACCTGACAAACGATCAGCAGTCGGTCAGTCAGTCAGTCAGTCAGGGAGCGGACAGCCAAATGAATCGCAAAATACTTGAACTGGAGTAACATGCACCTACCAGTAAAACGCCTTTTGGGCGAAGAACGAGCGAGCGAGATAGTGAGCCCTGCACGTGCGGAAGGGCGAGAGGGTGCTTCCAACGGGCTTGCGCAAAGCACCCTTCTAACCGGTCGCTAGCGGTGTGCCAAATTTGAACGCAATCGGCCCAGCCGTTCCTGAGAGCTGGAAGCGGCATTCTGCACGTGCGCACGTGCAAACGGGGTCCAAACTGACTTTTGCACGGCACCCTACTAACTGGCCCCCAACCGAGTACCAAATTTGAGCGCAATCGGCCCAGCCGTTCTCGAGATCTGGAAACGCCCCCTGCACGTGCGCACGTGCAGTAGCACCCTAACCGCAACACATGGGAATGCATTGCCTGGTGGGTGCCTACTTGTATGCCAAGTTTCAGCGAAATCGCCCCAGTAATTACCGAGTTACTGAAATGGGAACAAATTTGGCACCTCTTATTGTTGTATTTTGCACGTGCACTGGGGGTGACCCACATGCATCGAGAGTATCCTATTTTGGGTAGAAGAGATGCTGCTACCCTACAAAAATTACCGCAAGTCAATCCCCCAAGCGGCTGCTGAGATATGAGCCTCTCAAAATCACTACTTTTGCAAAACAGCTTGAACACCCTTGACTTTTCACGTGGCACGTGCCACGACGGTCACTGAGATGTATCAAAAGTAGTCAATTACGGGGTAGAAGGGATGGGGCTACCCAGCAAAAAAGACCGCAGGCCAATCGGTCCAGCGGTTGCTGAGATATAAGCCTCTCAAAAGCGTTACAGGCCGGGCCGGGCCGCTCATACTGAGATTTTTCCGTTATATTGAAAAGACTCACTTCGCGGGTCGATGTTCCGTCATCAAAAATAAAAGATGCATTGCAACACACGAAATGACCGTATTCTTGAGGGGCATGACTTGTACAGTTATACCGTCAAAAAGCATTAAAACACCTCTCTGCCAGCCGCTGCCTCAGCCGCCTCCTTTACAAAACTGCGTAAAGGCAGTCTCACTGTATCTGACGGCCTGCCTGAACTCCCTATCCCTTCCCCATCCACTCCCTCACAGAGCAGCAGCGGCCGGAGCCCACTTACTCCGGCCGCCGTTCCATGACCAGTTTGCGCTGGCACCACTCCTGGCGCTCGAACGTCCACACGATGGCAGTGCCGTCCTTGGAGCCGGAGACGAAGCGGCAGCCGCTGTGGCACCACTGGATGCTGTCCACCCGGTCAGAGTGCGCCTCCAGCTCCAAAATACGCTCCGGGCCGTCACTGAAGTCGGTCCGGTATACCCTGTGGGGAACAGCACGAGAGCAGCGGTTAGCGGGAAAGAGGGGGCTGTGCCATGACGACGGAGACAGTGGACGACCGAGGATTAGAGGTAGGGCAGAGGGGGACCGAGACGAAACAAACAGACGGAAAGCATCAACATGCAGAGGTAAGGGTAGCCGAAAATGAGTCCACGTTAAGTGTTATCGATAGAGTATGTAGTCATGATCCTCAGTGTCTTTTTACAGCTACCGAGGTCATTCAGCCAAGGGAAAACTGGTAGACTACTCGGTCTGCTCAATCTCCTACCTGACGTAATGGTCATCCCCCGGTCCAACACTATCCACGGCGGTCCGCTGCTCCTCCCACCACTGCACGGTAGGCGATCGGGCCGGTCAAGCCTCGCGAAACCTCAAAGACACTTTTTTTTCCGAAAATTGGAAAACAACGCATACTAGTCGACAGAAAATTCATCAAAGATTACGATTAGTGCATTTGCATGGCTCGGGAGACATTTTTTCGTCGACAAAAGTATCGTTAAAGACAGCGTTCCGTAACACTTCATAAGGGGGATAATCACAGCCGATTTTTACGCTCTTTGAATTTTTTGCGGAACGATGAAATTGCTAGGTGTTGAGCATCCATTTTGCATGGAAAGTGAAAGTTAGATGTTTAGACGATTCCGCCATAGAAAGCAAGTAGACAAAATCAGTTCAAAATGTCTAATAATTAGGTTTACTTTTTATATTTTTTTCTACCACTGAACATTACGTTCACTGAATTAACAAAGCCCAGCAAAAAAAGTTTTACGAGGATGAACTGAAAATAATGTTGTATCGCATGCACTAAGACACTATCTATTGGGGGAGCCAGTGAAAATTTGCAGCCACTTGCAGCCCTGGCATCCAGACACCTTTTTCTTCTAAAGGTTGGCCGTGGCTTGGTGCACTTGAGCACAAGTGGTAAATGCCACAAAGGGTGTTTTCGCGATAGCTCAAAACACCCAGGCAATAGAGAACTGCAACTTGGCATACCTGACCTTTGATGCACGCCGAATCTTGTGACACCAACCGCGCTTTAAAGTTAGGTCAGGTTGCTGACCTATGACGTCATAAATGAACCTCTGCACGATCCTCAGATGTCGCAACCTTGCAACGCTCTCAGTGCCAGAGTAACTTTCACAGGGAGGTGAGACTTGCAGGACTTATTGTCCTTTAGAGGTCTTACAACTTTTATATCTCAGATTTTTCCTAAATGTCACATAAAGTCAGGTTGGTCACGTGACCTCACCTATAAGTCAGTGGGGAAATATGAAAACTGTTATTTTGGCGCCAGGAATGATATTCAATTGTCTCAAGTACATGGAATCGTTACTTCATGCACTCCTTGCAAGATCTGATGCTGCATTTTTGCATTGTTGACCTTGCATGACGTCATTTATGACGTCACTAGGGTCATACGAGCTTTTCGTCAATAACTCCCGATCAAATTTAGCTAGAGAGTCGACAAGGTCACCAATGGACTCCGGAAGACCTGCCGAATCGAATGATATGCGATATGACCTCCTTCGACCAACTTCGTGATTTGAAGACCTCTGACCTGACCTTGACTCGAGGTCAACTCCTTACGGTGGCCTCACCTGAACAAAAAGTATACCATTCGACGCGCCTGAGCAAGGCGGACACGACGATGTCAAAATCGTGGTTCTGCGGCCATTTTTTGCGAAGTTATTTACCAAAAACCAAACCCGCTGCTTGGGTCACGTTATGAAATGGGGCCTTGCCGGGCGAGATTTACGCTGTTTCATGATATGTATAAATTGGTAGGGCATAATCGTTTCAATAAAAAGTTGGTTTGGAAGCAATTTTCTACGGAGGTACACACCATTTCAATGTCCTACCCAGCTCATATAGTCATAAATTTCGACCTAACCTCAAAAGTATTCATGCGTTAGGTATTCGAGCGGCAATTAGGCAAATTGCAAGCTCACCACAGAGCACAAATCCTAAAAGAGATAGTCCTTATTTAAAACATATGCTCATTGGATATTCAAGAAGGTTGCTCCTAAATATTGGGGTTCTAGCTTCAAAAACATGGATGTTATGAATGCCGATAGGTTTCGCGAGGCTACACCGGCCGGATCGCCCACTGTGCACTGTTACCTGACGTGATGGTCCGCTCCGCCGATGGCCAGAAACGTGCCGCCGGCGCTGAACGCAGCGCAGATGAGCTGCGCCTGGCCGGGCCGCACGCGCTCGTTGATCTTCACCGGCCGGCTGGCGAACTGAACGCCCGGCCGGCCGCCGCCCGGCCGCTCCTTGTCCCGGTAACTCCAGAACGCCACGCAACCGTCGTTCGCCGTGGAGACGAGCAGCCGCTGCTGCGGCAGCGGGCCCGGGCAGAACTCCAGCGCCGTGATCATACCGCCGTGACCGGACAGCACTGCCACCTGGTGGGGACACGGGAAACTGGTGTCAGCGGGCCCGGGCAGAACTCCAGCGCCGTGATCATACCGCCGTGACCGGACAGCACTGCCACCTGGCGGGGACACAGGGAAGTAGTGTCAGCGGCCCGGGCAGAACTCCAGCGCCGTGATCATGCCGCCGTGGCCGGACAGCAGTAGCACTGCCACCTGGTGGGGACTCGGGGAACTTATGTCAGCGGGCTCCCCAAGTCCCCACCCTGTCGCCTATCTCACCAGGGCCGCGGTCTGCAGGTCCCGGAATAGACCCACTTATATCCCAATGTCCACTATGCCTCCGGAGCCGTGGTCCGCACTCTGCAGTCCCAGACTAGACCCACCCCTGCCCCCTGTCTCACTGTCCCCATCTCACCGGGGCGGTGGTCTGCAGGTCCCAGACGCGGATGACCTTGTCGCAGCTGCCGGCCGCCAGCAGGGTGTTGTCCCCACTGATGGCCAGGTCGGTGATCTCGGCGGCCGCCCCGCGCAGTGTGGCCAGCAGGCGACCGTCCAGCGCCGACCACACCTTCACCAGACGGTCGTCAGCCCCGGTGATGACGCAGAAGCCGGTGCGGTCGAACAGCACGCAGTAGACGGCCGAGAGGTGGCCCAGGGTGCGTTTGAGCAGCTGTGTGCGGCTCAGCAGCCGCTCGGTGCTGAGGTGACGCCGCAGACAGCTGCCCTGCAGCTCGCGGCCAAAACTGCTCACCGCTGAGGGAAGGAGGGGAGAGGGGTCAGCTGCCCTGCAGCTCGCGGCCAAAACTGCTCACCGCTGCCGAGGAAAGGAGAGGGAGCGGTCAGATGACGACCGAACGACACAGCTGAACAGACAAGACGATGGCCCCCTCCTCACGGCAAAGACTGCTGCAGAGGGCATATTGGGGAGTGGACGGTGATCTGACAAAGAGAGAGGCCAAGAGCAGATAGGACGACACGGGACACCGGCAGGTTAGGATCGAACGGTAGCAGAATACCGCTGACGGTTGAAGGAGCAGACAGGGCGGCAAGGGCAGTGGCACGGCGACTTCATGCCATCTAAGTTTTAGGACAGTGGATCGTCGGGTAATAATCCGATAAAGTTTACGTATACTCACGTAGTGTGGGTGTGTGTTTGAGACCGACGGGGTCGAGTATGGGCCGTCCTGCGATTCTGGCCGCCACCCGGTGCACTGGCAGGTGGCGCTGCTGGCTCCCTGTTGGCAATACACACACCTCGGTCAGACACAACACCGCCACCCGGTGCACTGGCAGGTGGCGCTGCTGGCTTCCTGTAGCATGGGCATCCGGGTCAGATCGAAAATCGTATGTAGGGGCTGCTTGTGGGCCAATCGATCGGAATGTTTTGAAACACGATACAACCAACCAGGGGAAACACTCCATCACAGAGAACATCCCAATGGGCGGCGGTCTGCGATCCACGAGCCCATTTCCCGATCGGGTCAACACCTCCCCCAACCCCCTCCCCCTAGCTACCGGTGCCCTCTAGCTGGTGCCCTAGCCGGTCTGGGTGGAACGGTACCGATCATGAACTCCACGCAACCCTTACCAACCCCTACCCTGCCGTCCTGCGGCTCTCACCACTCCACCCAAAACCCGCCAGTCCCTCTCCAGTCCTCTCACTGTGCTCAACACCCTATCCGACCCCCGCCAGTCCCTCCCCGTCGTCCCGCTATACTGACCCGTCTCTGTCCGCAGCACAGAGTTGGAGCCGGCGCCGATCACTGACTGCCTAACACCCACCAGTCCCTCCCGCCGTCCTGCTGTACTAATCACCGCACCCCACCCCGCCATCCTACTATACTCACCCGGCTCTGTTCGCAGCACCGAGTTGGAGCCGGCGCCAATCACTGACTCTGCCCAAATCCCCCCAGTCCCTCCCCGCCATCCTGCGGCTCTCACCACCCCTCCCCGCCATCCCGCTGCACTCACCCGGCTCTGTTCGCAGCACCGAGTTGGAGCCGGCGCCGAGCAGCGAGTGCAGGCCGCGCACGCCGCTGGGTACCAGGCGGTCCAGCAGCGGCAGCATGTTACCGCACAGTCGCAGCAGCGTCTCACCGCCGACATGGGGGTGAAGACGGTCCTGGCGGAGCGTACTGCGGTCAGCGGAGGGCACACGGCAGAGGGTCACACGGCAGTGGGACAAACTCTGTGGGACCCCACCCTCCCAGGCCCCTGCCGCAGCACTTCCCGCCCCCGATGGACCATCTTCCGCAGCGGAGAAGGCAACTGTCACACACGTATGAGCTGCACTCTATAAATTACCTGGGTTACATGAACAAGTAAATACGCTATACGGATCAGGAACGGATCTTCCTATACATATGCCGAATGCCGATCATTGAAAACTGTAGTCCGTTCGTAATACGCATTTATTCTGCTCATGTAACCCCGGTCGATGAATCGGAGAGTCATGGTTCAGAAACTCATCCCCCTGCTCCATTTTGGGACCGTACCTATTATTGCCTATCACCGCCAAGTGTGCTTCCGCAATCTACCTAAATAGGTACCGCTAGACATACATTCGGGATTCATCACACGAATGTTTTTTAAGCTCAAGGCTCAAAAGTTTGTTTTGTTTGTTTTGTTGGGTTAGGACTTAGGCCCTTTCAGTCCATTGAGAACATTGCAGAGCCGGTAGGATGAGAGGAATTAGGGAGAGACATTGCTATGGACAGGAACCCTAGAGAGTCACCGGGGCTGAGCCCGTCCGAATGGACAGGCCGACCAGCCCCAATTAAGTACTCTCTGCACCCGGCTACGGGTGTGCTCCCTGGGGAGCAGCGGTGCCGCTCCAAGGGAGCACCCGCATGAGATAAAGTTGCCTGTCCAGTCTGGAGCGAGGGTTGCAACGTGGAGGAGAAGGATTTGAACATCCTGAGGATGAAAACGACGGACGGGTAAGGCTGAAAGGGATTGTATGCTTAAAAAGCCACGTGCAAGGATACTCTATATTTTAGGCAGACAAGCGCCATAAAAAGTGGCCGCTCTATTCGTCATTGTCATCCTATCCTGTGCATCTAGAATTTGCCGCCCTCGCGAGCAGGCCACGCAATCACAGGAAGAACTTGCAAAAATAAGTTTAGGTACCTACATTGAGAGTAAAAAGTCAAAATGAAGAGTTTCGAAACAATTATCCAATAAAAAGCACGTACTCAAAAGTACTTATCTAAAGCATTGTCAACGAGTATCACCCTGTCCACCACTAGGATTGTTTGGTATTCATGCGCCCGCACGCTCCGCCCTCCCGACGTCCTGCTACGGAACGATTGGCTGCCCAGCCAGCCGAACGGCCTGCGGTAAGCATACGGTCGAATTTTCCCATCAGACCAGCGAGAAATAGGCCTTACTGACGGAGACTTTGGCTTTGGTCCAGCGCCCAGCCCGTAACGCGGCCGAAGCCAGAGTTTCGCTGCCCCCAGCGCAGATACGGGCGCAGCGTCGGCCGCTTTCCAACGATCCCTGGGACCGGTCGGGAGCGGCAAACCGACGGCGACTGGGCCGAGCGGGGCGGGGAAGCATAAAATGGCGATAAAAGCCTAAAACAAATTCAATATTAATGCACTTCTGAATCCGGTTACACATGGACTCTCCGTAACGTGCCGTCGAGTGACAGGTCAACCGAAACGCTGTCGGTGACCTCGCGTCTCACGACTTAACACTAGCCCCAAACAAAATTTTAATAAATAAAATGGGATTTGTGAAATGTTCTACTCACCCATTCCTCCCAAGTCCGCTCATGGCGATTGCCGAGCCAATCGTAACGGTCCGGCACCAGCTGAAACAAACGGCGATACAGTCAAAGCTTATCCTAGGTCATGGGCACGAATAGAAGTAAACAAACCCACGTGACAACGCAGCACGAGCTTCGACCGGCAGTCCACGATGTGCAGTGCTCACCTTCAGCTGCCGTATTTCCTCCAGCAAAACCTGAAACAAAGGGCGAGGTAAGTGACTGCATGTAACCACATTACTCATTATAATAACATCGTTGATTGTACATACCTTGGCTGAACTTTTGCAGGCACTTGAATCCAAAAACTTGGCGACAAGATACAGCAGTTCTGAAAAGCAAGACAACTCGTCAGAAAAACGTCTCCACAAGCAGCGCACAATTTCGTAAACCATGAGTAATGGTACGATCTTACCTGGTAATATAGCTTCTTCACGTCTTCGACGATCCTGTGCTTGATTAGTTATATCCATTGTCACCACCCATCAAGAATAAATAGCAATAATTCAATGACCAAATAGCCCACTTTGCCGTTGCAGCCACACTGAGCCATTCTCCAGCCGACAGGGCATAGGAATATAGTGACGCAGTCGAGGAAAAATTTAATGTGTTATGAGCTTTCTTCGCTAGATTTATTTGTCTATTTTCGACAAAAAAGCAATTTCCTGAAAGTTTACCCACTCTAATCGATCACCAATAATGCCATTATTAAAACGCCTCAGGCCTTTTCTCACATCTCACGAACTGGCACGGCGTCAACCTTCCGTCCAGTACCAAATGGTACTTGCTTGGCATACGACTCCCATCTCTAATATTGTGTCGACAAATCTAGCGCATATGTTACAAAACTGAAATAAAAACTGCACGTCGGTGTTGGAGGCATATGAGGCATATGGGAAGTTTACACTGATTTTGCATCCCTATTGTTTTGGTTTTTGTTTTGTTAATGATCTGAGATATAACCCGTTATTAATTGAATTGACTACTAAGGTATGTCTAGCAGGCAAATTGAAATCCATTGCCAGTAAAAAGTCCAGAGGGAAACAAATCAGGTACCTATATTGATATGTCAAGATAAAGCCCTAAGAAGCTTTCAATGATACGTTTTGCATGTTCGTACATTATTTGACCTCCTGAATCCAAAAGTGATTCTTACATGTCTCGTAAAACCAAAATAACACCATAACACCAACCAATCGGCAATCACTCGTTCACAAATCACACCACGCACGAACATAAACACGGCACAGGTAATATGGGATAAAGTGTTGCCATTATGGAAGGTAATAACTAATATGGGTGATTAATTTTGAAGCCATATATTCAGGAGCCCTGAATAAACTTCATGTGCTTATCAACTTTGCATCTCAAATGGGCCGAGCCGAGCGGCTAAAACAACAGCGTCTCTGAGCAGGTCCTGAAAGGCTTAGGTAGCGCTAGATTGGGTTTGCCCACTCGGAGAATAAAAAGGGGGGACCAGAAAGAGGCCTCATTTCCAGCACTGGCAAAATACCTATGATAATTTTGATGAGATCAAAATCTCAACTGTGGGATGGATGACTCAGCTAGGCTAGCACATAAATAATTTTTATTTAATACGATCGGTAGCTTCTGCATGGGGCACACACCATATGCTTATGGTTCTTTGAGTATGAAGTGGTTACTTGCTAGCATCACAATGAAGTAACCAATACAGATTGAGATCAGTATTAGAATGCGTCCAAAAGCTCATAACAAACATTGTCCGCATGAAAATGAAGCCTCTCATTTCTATAAAAGATTATTTTACTGCATCGCCTGTGCCATTCAAAGCTAATACCTGAAAAGCACACTAACTGACTAACCACTTTTGCTGGAGGGCCTTATATTTTATATTTTTGGTAAACAGTTTGTATTCCCATCTTTATCTTCATCTTTTTATTGGGTCACTTGTTACATTTTGTTATGGACACTTGTTGTGGACTCTTTGCTATATATTCATGTCTTTCTCACTGCAACATTGTCATTGGATGCCCTTCCCTATCCATCCTCCCTCTCCAGCAGGTACTGACCGAGTGAGATCCCTGGCAGCGTTCACCCAGTCAGCATGGCCGTCCGATGGCCGACCCAGTCAGCTCCTCTTCCTCCCAGTCCTCCTCGTCTGGCTCGGCCTCCTCCTCCTCCTCCCACATCTCCATAGAGGAGCGCTACAGTGACGCCGCGCGGCGCATCTTCGCGGCCCAGCAGCGGCAGCGGGCGGCTGCCGAGCGGGAGCGGCTGTTCTCGTTCGGCATGTACCGCCGGCGCGTGCTGCACGCGCACTTTGGGAACGCGGGCGTGCTGGTGACGCTGCCCTCGCCGCAGCCGTCGGCGGCCACCGTGTCGGCGATCTCACGCGCTTCCAGCTACGAGTGGGTAGGACCGGGCGGCTGTAACGTACAGTGAGACACTCAACTGAGACAGTCCAGTGTCAGTTATCCAGCGAGACTGTCGGGTGAGACACTAGTGAGACGGAGCCGGGCGGCTGTAACGTCCGGTGAGACTGTTTCGGGCGACAATACCATTCAGTGAGGTAGTCTTGTGAGACAGTTCAGTGAGACAGCCCTGGATGGCTGTCCAGTGAGACTCCAGTGAGACACTAGTGAGACGGTCCCGGGCGGCTGTACCGCCTGGTGGAATTATCCCGGGCGACCGCACCGTTCAGTGAGGGCACGAGCCGTGAAGCTGGTTGGTAATACCGTGCATCGGAGGTGGGCCAGGGCGCCATTATACTGTCTAATGGAATATTCCAGTGAGATAGTCTAGTGAGGTATTTCCGAGTGGCCAAACCTTCCAGTGAAGCAGTACATTTCAGTGAGGCGTTTCAGTGAGACAGTGCCTGGCTGTACCGTTTGGCGCCGGGTGAGACAGACTGGTGGCTAGCAGCCCGGTGAGCGAACTGCTCAGGGTCAGGGATAGGCTCTCCTGTCAACGCAAACCCATCCAGTGATCCAGCCTACCATCAGCTCGTCCTGTGAGTACCATACTTTCCACTCCTTAGCCATATTTTCAGAGTGATTATCGGAGGGACTCAGACGTCATCGATGACGGGCGGTGCAGTGTGATTGATACACCCGAATATATTGATTCGCCTCGGTCCGATTATTAGGCTAAGGATGAAGCTATGGTTTTGGATGATAATTGCTAAAAAAGCGCTTGTAACCTATGAGTTATTACTTTCCTTTACTTATTGTCATGAAGCCGGGAGGCAGTGTGAACTAAGGCTAACTAGCTTGTCTTTTCACAGGATTTTGGACACCTTCAGTCACCATCGGCCTGACCATCACCACAAAGACCCGGGTATCTCGATCTGTGATAGAGCAGGCGGTACTGCTTCAAGATGGCGTCTCGGATGGAGGTGAACCTGTGCCGTCTGCTGCAGCAGTGTGAACGGATGGCAGCCGCTGAGGAGTGCGACGGCAACTGGCGCTACGAGCAGGTCAGCACGCGCCGCAGCGGTCGGTGGCCCGTCCTTCCGCGGGTCAGAGCAACGATAGAGCAGGGGAGACTGTCATCGCGCTGATCGTAGTGGGGATTTACAAAAAGAATAACTGCCGTTTTCGGTGACTAGCATCCGAAGCCGACTTGGAAACCTTTAGTCTACCACCGAACCGTCTTGGAAGTACGAACACTGTACCCAGGGCCTGTATCTAGGGCCTTGACTGTACCCACACTGTACCCACGCATCCGTTCCATTATTTGGTACTGATATGGCCTTGGTACTGATGTCAATTAATAAGTTTTTTTTTTTTACGCGCGATGCGGTGATAATGCGTCATGACCGCGACTAAATGACCCGTGTAATTGATTTCTAACAATCAACACTTTACACTTCCTCCTTTTTTCGCAATTTTAGGCTATGTATAGTTACTTTTCGGATTATTCTCTGGGATAATAATATCTAACTCAGAAGTCCAAAAAGTACCCTTTTTATTTTTGTCCAGTGACCAAGGGTGAGCAATATCATCCGAAATATGTGGACTTTTGAGTTAGATACATTAGATGTATATTATCCCAGAGTTAAATCCGAACTGTAAATATACATAGCTAATTTCCTGGGAACGAATGACTTAAAAAATTAGGCTGCTCTCTGGCCACGATATGCGACTAGCCGTGCTTTCGAGGTTATTTATTTAACAATGATCTTTTTCCTCTGTTGCAGTACGTTAAGGCGCTCCGAACTCAGTTTGACGCCCTGAAGTCAAGCCCGAGGTAAGTAACAGCTTTGACGAGTATATTCCACTTGCTACGGTGTGAAATTTAGCCAAATTTCCCACGACTCGACACGATCGATTTAATGCTGCTGATTGCTTTGCCGTATTTCAGTCATGGCGATGCTGTTGCTCTCAAGTTGCCTGATAAAAAAGACAACCGTTCGCATAGGCATCTAATCGGATCCATGCATTAACGGAAAATAGGAATGATCTTAGCCTAGCATGTAATGACATATACTCTGTACCGTATTAGCTCGATGAGGTTCAATTGATATTTGTAGCCTTTCTTTTGGGCAGATTGATAGTGAGCGTTACGATAGTCTTATGTATGTATCCCGCTAGTTCCGGACCCCGGTCATCAGTTACCCGGATGATTGATCATTTTCTTGAGAGATCCTTTGAACTGGTAGTTGGTACTAGTGATATCAATTGTCAATTACAGAAAATAGGAATAGCGATACCAAACCAAATACCAACCAAAACCGTGGGAAAATACCGAAACCGAACCAACTTTTAAAGATGAGGGAAATACCAACAAAATACCAAACACATTAGGATTGAAATACCAAATACCAAGTTGGTATCGGTTTGGTATCGGTATACCAAAAAGTGGGTACCCGATTGACATCTCTAGTTGGTAGGTACTATGGATTTTTTCCGCATTGGTATAGGCCAAAACTTAAATTGTGTTATCATGCCCTTATAACAGCCTTTGCCTTTACACCAACACCTGATGCGTGCTTTATTCTTGATCACATGTCATCGTCAGCCGTGAGCTGACGCCTTTTATCTTGTTTGCAGTGCACCGAGTCCGGAAAAGCTGAGCGAGTTCGTCAGACGCATTGAACACCTGCAGAGCTTTTTGCCGCCGGAGCCGCAGGTAGGCGGAGGATCGACTCAAAATTCCTTTTTTTCCAGATTACCTAACCATTGTTTAAGTGTATTAAGTTTATGTATGTCCTTCTAAACAGATTCCAGCTAAAACTGACGTTAGCTGGACCATTTAAACGATCTACCGTTACACGTAGACAGCATCTTGAATTGGTGTAAGATTAATTTTCCCCGCCCACTGACTTGTATCCTGCCCCCTGATGAAAACTGGCGCGACCTTGGGTCACCCCTTGCATCAGGTAATCTGTGTTGGCCTGGTCTTACCCTCTTTACGGCATGAGGTACCACGACCCTTACGCACCTTCCTTTCTCCATCCCATGTCGCCGTGACCATCGTTCCGTGTCGTCTCCTGACCACCCCGTACTGTATGTACATACTCTTTTCTGGCCGTCTAATGTCGTACTCTGACCGTACCATGATGTACCCTGTCTGTACCTTGTTTTCCTCTGACCCTCCCGTGATGTACTCTAACCGTCTCGTCATGACCTTCCCGCCCTGACCGTCCCCCCCCCGTGCCGTTTTCGTCTGCAGGTGACCCCTCCGTCCGCCGAGCCGCCGGCCCGCCCGGCCGCCAGTCCGCCCGTGTCTCCAGTACTGACTTTGGTGTCCAGATCACACGCCAGTCCGGCGCTCACAGAGCTGCGGCACCGGCGCGGCGGCCGCGCGCACGCCGAGGCCAGGGCCCAGCTGCTGGGAACGCCCGTCGGTGAGTGAAGGCACCGAGGGGTATTGGTGGGGGAGGGTGAAGAGGACTGGGACGCGGACCAAGGGATGTCATGGTTTTCAGATTGGTAAAGCAACAGCTTGAGAACGTTCGTTATGAAGAACGGTATTTTGTTTGGAAGAAGTTCGGCAAGCTTTGATTATTGAGGTTCCTACTGGTCATTTATTTTTGTTAGTGGTATGACCAGCGGAAGCAGTGTCACGGGTTTTTACTGCGCTTTCTGTAAGTGTGATATCCCGTCACGAGTAGCTTAGGCACTGAATTCGTCCGTTGCAGGGGGCGAGGCGGCGTCTCCTGCTAGCGGTGGCGGCAGTGTGGAGGAAGACTTTGAGCAGGTGATGAAGCGCCACCACGAGCTGCAGGAACGGGCCGCCGAGGAGATGCTGGCACTCACCAGAAACCTCAAGGAGCAGTCGCTCATCGCCAAAAACGTCATCGCCAAAGACAGAGAGGTGAGCTGGCTTCAGTGCGAGTTAAGTTTGTGTAATATTTCGGGACATTAGAAGTTTCTGTTTTGTAGGTGAAATCTGAATATTCGTGATTCCAGTGTCCCCTCCTAGCTACTCTCAGGCTGTCAATGTGTGGTGTTGTAATGGTGGGCAATAAGGAATAGATACGACACCAATATGAATGTTAGCTAAAACATTGGCAAGGGAGCCTTTTATCAGTTGCAAAATGTGGTCGTAATCATCAACCATGTACGATTCGGTTGACGCTTTGGCTGAATTTTCCAGTTTTGTTTCGGCTGCCGCTAGTTACCGACCCGTCCGTCAGGTGGCAGTGCTGAGCGTGGTTCCCGTTTCAGACGCTAGAGCGCAGCACTGCGCTGACGGACAAGAACACGGGTCGTCTGGAGCGCGAGTCGCAGCGGCTGGCCGAGTTCAGCCGGCGCGCCTGCCGCTGCTGGCTCTGGATCATGCTCGCCGTCGTCTGCGCCACATTCATGGGTGAGTCGAGTTACCTGTGGTATCAGCAGGGCCGAGGGGCGTATTATGTCGTCGGGTAAGGGGTCGAATCGCCTCGCCGGCACAGGCCATTTCGCGTCCTTCGACGGCACAAGGGGGGGGGGGGGGGGTACGACCCCCCCTCGCGTTTGGCCCCTGATCGAGCTAGAGCTTCGCGGAAAAACGAGCGTGTTGCCCGTCACGAGAGGAAGCCGATGATACCTAATTTTAAGGTCCTAGGTCATCGGATGACCTTCCAGGTCAGGTCAATGACCCGAAAACGGGGAAAATCGGGACCTGTTAGAAAGTCGTAAAGTGTGGCTGCTATGTGGTTTTCCGGGATGCTGATCACGAATATCGTGTTAGTTTTGATCAGAGATTATGTTTTTAAGCATTTAGACCAGGTCGGGTCAGGTCAAGTCAGGTCAACCGGTAGGGGTTGTGACGGGTATTCGTAATACGTGTCAACCGACTCTGACAGCTTCGTAACATGTTACGAAGGCACCAAAACTACTTCGTAAATGTTCAAATGGTTGCTAAATTCGAATTCAGCTCCAAAAACTAGCCTAGAAATACATATGTAAAACTCGAAAAAGTGAACCGAGGTCACCCGAGGTCACCAAAGGCCAATGACCTGACCTGACCTTCAGGTGACCTTGACACCCACCCTAATGTATGGGAGCAACATCAAATCACATGTTTGAACGTTTGAAACCACGAAAAGCTTGCAAACGCGCGGCTAATGCGAGCCGACATACGCCGAATCGCGATTCGGGCCAAACATGGTCTCGGAAAAGAGGTCACAGGTCAAAGGTCATTTGGGTCAGGGTCATGAAATTTTCAGGGTAGGTGTAAAATTGATCGATGCGAGGGTACTGAAAGTTTCGTCGCGATCGGCAGCTTTTTACGCGAGTTATTCGCGAAAAAACCTTAGGGAGGTTGCATCAACCCCCCCCCCCCCCCCCCCTGTGCCGGCGAGGGTTAATGTGAGCCGCGGACATACCACGCCCTATTAGTGAGTATGATGCGCGTATTGAGGATTATCCCTGGTGGATTTTATGCTAGACTCATTACAATATGTTTCGTGCTATCATTCCAGATGACTAGTTGCATACTTGCTACTCATCTGTGTTAACGCCAGTCCAGCTCGTTCCCTGCTTTCCGCCTGACTGCTGTGTATGTATATGTCCACGCTGTACATTGACGTCCCGTGGGTTCTCCCATTCCAGGTATGGTTGTGTTCATCCGTTTGTTTGGTAAGAAGGTGCTGACGGCGACGCCTGCCGAGTAGCTGGCACCCTCCGGTGGTGGCTCGCTGCCGATCGGTCCATCGGTGACCCGTTCCGTAGGTGGCGCTGGTGGCCGCTCTTCCGTGGGTCACCCGGACGGCTGCGTTCAGTGTGATTACAGATATATCCTATACAGATAAGTTATATTATATGGCCGCTGCCTGCCCCACGCCCGGGCGGTGGGCGAGTCTGGGCACTGCGGTACCAATATGTGATACGCTGAGGTGACCTCATCGCAATACAGTGGTGTGTTTCTAGAGACTCTGTGGGTGAGAGGAACACTGCTAAGTTAGGATTGGTGATTGGTGTAAGGAAAAGGGCCTAGCGGGTCTAGCTACCGCCGCATCGTAGAAGATCGCAGATAGCTGTCTGTCGGATCGTCGTTGACCAGCTCATCCAAGAGCCGGGTCATGTGGGGCCTGAGATTTGGTGCGGAGGGGGCAAAAGGCTCTTTGCTGAGCCGGAAACCAAGAGTAAAAGCGTAAAATATAAAGCCTAGACTATTTCAAGTTTTTAGGGTACTTTTTCAAGTCAACCAGGTGAACGCCGAGATCACCAAAGTGATATTTCAGAAAATGCGATGGATCTTGCTTTTGCCTTGTAGTCCATGACTTTTATCAACGCTCCTGCTTGAAACAAACACCAATTAGGCGCAGAGTTTTGGCCCATTTTGCCCTTTTGGTAGAAAAATTTGCATGTCGATTTTCTAGTCAAAATGACCTGCAATTTTTACAATTGTAATAAAACGGGGAATGCCTCTGACCTGACCTCACCTGAGCTCAACTCTTATTTTTAGGAAATAGGATCGAATGAAGTAAGCAAGTTTGATGTGACACACCAGTCTCATGAAATTAGACTTCTCGATTGGTAACAGAAAACTCGTTGAGAGGTCCTAGAATCTCTTGGCAAAAAAAGTGATTACTTCCTGACGATCAGTTAACCTGATATTGCCAAAACAATTTTTTTATGCACCAAGTTTGTATGCAACTACCAACATTGCAGCCTGTGGTATTCGTTAGCAGCAACTGCTTCTTCACTACTAACTCCTATACGGTATAATACCGCGTGATTTATGCCGAAATGGGTCCGACGTACAAATGCTTGCATTATGTCAGTTTTTGCCAATAAGCTCAGTACACTATTTTCAATTTTCAGCATGAGTTTCGGCATATTTCAATTTTCAGTTATCTTCAAATCGTTGTTTCTCATGCACGTTTCAGTCTGTAGCTGACCATAAGCTGCTGTTGCTCGGCTATGATGTCATCATCTCTCGACGTGTGTGTATTTTTCCGTATTCATCGGCATAGCCGGGCGCGGGTTTCTGCGAGGTATTTAGTAGGATCATTGGCGGCGCCACGTGCGGGCCGGATCAGTGGGAGCCGGATGCGCCGGCGAGGGGAGGGTCGGGGGGGGGGGCGGAGTACACCCAGCAGCTGACTGGCTCATGGGACCGTGATGTCACCCCGTCAGACCGCCTGCCCCTCCCCCCTCCCCCTCCCCCCACCATCCTCCACGATAGTAAAGATCGCTGACCAGTCTGATCCCCCCCCCCCCCAGAAAAAACACCGTCTCTCGCCCGGCTTATCTGCGGACTGCGGAGACGGAAAAACATGTCGCGGATTGACATTGTCAAAAATGGTCTCCTGCATGACGTGCTAATAGGGTTATCGCCGCATTTTGCTTGTTCGCGTCTGGAACTGAGGTGACCAAGCTGCTTAGACTGATGATGACGTGTTCAGCCGTGATGCTAGTGTGTGAACCGAGGTTATTCCGGCTTTAGGCGGCCTCCCCGACAGAGTGATGAAACGTTCAGCGATCCTCTCGTCAGAGCCACGGCTAAAGACACCTGAACTGGATATAGGCATCTGCTTGTTACACGGAAGAGTGGGGATTCTGTGAATTTTTGCAAGCAACATCATTTCATGCAGCTAGATGATCAGTAAATGGCGACAAGGAGCAAGCGCTTTGTAGCAAATGATCAGGTTTTTTAACAGGTTTGAAACAATGCAATGCCAACCTTCTCTGGCAAGAAGAGAATGAAGGAAAGACCACGTTATCATGCTGCTACATTTGTCTCTTTTCTGGAACGCCAAACTTCTGGTCTGGTTTTCGCCAGCATTTGGGAATTTCCGTCGCCATTCCCCGGTTAGTTTGTGTTCGGCTTATGTAGCCGATGTCGGCCGGCTTATGTCATGATCGTGGCTCCGATGAATTTTGTGCGAGGTAAAGGTGCGGGAAATCGGTCATCACGCCCAACCTTCTGCGAGCCGAGCAGTCTGCAAGGAATAGTAATTTGTATGGGCATTCGTGTTTAGTTAGTTTTGAGAACTGCTGCGCATTTGAGTTATTAGTTATCATTTCTTCGCGTGCGTCTTGTTTGGGGACTCGGCTAATAAGTCTGGCCTTTCTGAGGTCGGTGATTTTGCTCACCTCTTAACTCAAAAGAGTTTCGTCATGTCATTCTGAACACCGTAATTGTGTGGTGCTCGGGGACGCGCTGTGATCCTCGGGGATCACGGACCCGCCCCAATCCTAGTCCGGCTGTCCTGTGGCGCCCTGGGGGGCTGGCCAAGGACACCCCGTGGGATGACCATAGGCGCGCTGTGGTCCTCGGGGTATCACGGACCCGCCCCAATCCTAGCCCGGCTGTCTGAGAACGCCCTGCGGCTGACTGGGACTCCCTTGGGCTGGCCATAGGCGCCCTGTGGTCCTCGGGGGATCACAGCTCACAGTCCCGCCCTAATCCTAGTCCGGCTGTCTCGATGACCGGTCGGCTGCGCCCAGACTCCACACCAGCTATCCGGACCTTGCCGTGGCCGAGCCGGCTCCGCCAGACGCCGCCGGCGGCTCAGACTGAGACACTCCGAGAATATGTGCATCTGGGGCTGACGTCAGACAAGTTCCCCACCTGGAACGCTGGATTAGCTTAGCGCCGCCACAGCGCTGGTGTATAGGTGGCCAGCCGGAGGAACTGGCGGCCGGTGTCGGCAAGAAGAGGCAGACGTGACAGTCAGTGTGGGACAGACGATACATTCAGTACGAGACAGACGAGACAGTCGGTACGAGACAGACGAGACAGTCGGTACGAGACAGACGAAACAACAGACAAGAGGATCCGCCGGAGACGGACAAGTCTGCCTCTCTTGTACAGACAAAATAGTTTGCTCGTCCAAGGCAAACGATTTTTTTTTAACATAGATAATATGAATCATGTTATCTATGAAAAAAAAATATGAAGACGAGACATTCGGTCCGAAAGAAGACGAGTCCGTCCATCCAAAACAGACGAGATCGTTCGATTGAGACAGCCGAGACCGTCTGTCTCATAATTCATTCGGACGACACAGCCGAGACCGTCCGTCTGCAGTCGGACGACACAGCCGAGACCGTCCGTCTGCAGTCGGACGACACAGCCGAGACCGTCTGTCTCATTCGGACGACACAGCCGAGACCGTCCCCCTGCAGTCGGACGACACAGCCGAGACCGTCCCTCTGCAGTCGGACGACACAGCCGAGACCGTCCCCTGCAGTCGGACGACACAGCCGAGACCGTCCCTCTTATTCGGACGACACAGCCGAGACCGTCCCTCTACAGTCGGACGACACAGCCGAGACCGTCCCCCTGCAGTCGGACGACACAGCCGAGACCGTCCCCCTGCAGTCGGACGACACAGCCGAGGCAGCTGTTCTGTCAGTTCAGGAAAGCCTCGCGGAGGACCGAGAACCGCACGATTCACTCGTGCCATTTGAAAGCAGCTTGGCTCTGCTTCTTCTTGTCTTCTTTTGTACTTTTAAGTGGGCATGCCTTTCGCATGTTTTGCTTTTTTCAATAAAACGTTTACACTTTGCTCTTGGGTTAGATTTTTGTACGCTCATATTGTATAGGTACGTATCGGTGCTTGGTGATATTTTGATGAAATGGACGGTTAGCCATTGAGCTGGAGTGAGAAGCTCAGTAGCATTATTCTCGGGAGTTTGGAGTATATCCTCACTCCTCAGCTAACTGTGGTCAAGCTCGCGGTAAATCTTACTTTATCACTTATCACTTACGTCAGCTTTGGAGAAAGCGTTATTTTAGAGTTCCGCTTACAACACAACCCAAAAAATCAGAATCCATAGTTTTGTCGTCTATATCCTGCCGTCCACCTTGGCCTATAATTTACATAAAGCGGATCACCTCACCCATGGATCAAAGCCAACGGCCACGACGTCACAGCTCACAGAACACATATTTAGGTAGAAGCGGTGTTACGTCTAAACGGCCTGCGACGTGAATAATATCTGCCTACTATCCTACATTATAAATTATCACCAGCTGTTGCTCCTTATATATTCTTTGCATTGTTTGTGTAGATAGGCAGAGTATCTTCATTTAGACATTGTTCATTGAACCGTAGTGCGAATTCTGCTTTTATGAGCTTCCGATTTGTGTGTTCGTATTTTCGGATCGTTTTCTTGAGAGATGTTGATAATTGTCCGATTATATTGGCAAAGGTTTCAGACATAACATGTATACAAAATTAAATTCCTTAGGCTTTCGAAGACATCTACATCTTTATGATCACAAGGTTAAATTGTAAAAGCACAGAGCCTAAGTTTGCTATTAGAATGGAAGGGAGAAAAACTAAATACATATTGTGCGTGATAAATTGCTAAGGCCTCTTGCAGTCGTCACATTCAGTAAACACACTATAGTCTGTTTTTCGTATCTTCTACCTTCACTCAAAGATGTTTTGCCCCTCCAGCACGTTTTTAGGGTATAGTTTTCAAATTTTGACCGCATGGCCCACCACTCATTGCAGGAGTTTGTTGCTCGTGTTGGAGTTCACCTTCGCTGCGCAGATAAAATCGGAAAAGAAACCTTTAAAGGAAATAGTTCACATTTTAACATGGGTTTTGAACTGGAATAGCAGTTCCGTAGCTTGGGCTGAGACGAGCATAAATCAGGAGCTTTTACAGCCCAACGATCACCCTAGGCAAAGATATTCTATTTCTCGTCCCGAAAAATGTGTCTTGCGTTGAGGATGTGTGCCTTGCATATATTCGCATCCAGTATGAAACGAGCATGGGTCCCGAAAATTCTTCAGAAACTAGAGAAATTATCTACGAGAACTCTAGAGAAATTCGCTCCAGTGAGGCGCTCCAGTAACAAAAGCACGAGCAGAGGCCTCTTGCACCAAAATCCTCTTGCACCAATGCTTGGATTATTTTGCAACGTATACCCAGTCCAAGCCTCAATTGTAACAATTTGCGTGCA